TTTTACCACATGCTTAGAAGACTTGTTTGAGATAGCACACTGATGGTCAGAAAAAACCCGAGACATTACCACATCCATTAATGTAAACATACTCTTGTTCTGCTCTACTTTCCTAAGACATCCAGTCATACAAGCAGTACAAGGTGATAATATATATTTCAAGCTAGCATGTACAGAGGAAGAATCATATATAAGCATTTGTGAAAAATACAAAGACTGTTCTTATGCTTCTTGGAAGCACTTATTTGACAATACTGTGAATGTTACTTTAAAATGTATCAAATCGTATTTCACTTCAAATCAGAGTCATCTCTTAACCTTCTGAGGACCGACTGTAATGGACATTATAAATCTGGATTTGTGAAGAAATGTCTCAGTCATATACTGGAAGATCTGTGTTACTGTTTGCCCAAGAATGTAAGAAAATGGCAGTATGTTCAGCCCTTTGCAAAGATTATTTTAACCCCTCTGTATTTCTGCTTTTCTACTTTTTCTTTTTTCAACACCACTTTTTCTTGTTGAAGTCAATGGGAGTTCTGCAGTGTCCTATATTTATTTATTTTATATCTAAATACAGGTTTAATAGTAACAACATTACGTCCTTTTCTGATTTACTGTGCTTTTCACACCCCACGGCAGCTTTACATACCACATTTGTTCATCTGCATGAACACATTTTCTCTTAGCTATTTTGCTAAAAGCAGCAGGAAAGCTGAGACCTATATTTTTTTCCATTGTCCTTTTTTACCTTTTTTTTTTTTCCCTTTGAATTACTCTACTGAAACATAAAACTAGGTAAGCAGGTGAAGTCTGGCACCAGTCAGGTAGTAAGTGGTGGAAACCATGTGCCTAATTGTGCTCTCCCAGTGCAATTGCACCTGGAGTCAGTGCATTTGCTGATGAGATGGACCAGCAAGGGAAGAGAATCAGGCCCCATGTCTAGACGTAGTCTGTGAGCACTAGAGAAATAAAATGCACAGGGGAATCGCAATGTTTTTCCCATTGTCCCTGCAGTAAAACCCAGGGAGAGTACCCCTGAGGAGCGTCCCCTGGTACAAGAAGGATCTGAGGACCCAAAGCAAACTCCCTCCCCAGCAGCCGCAGCCAGCGCTGCTTTTCCCGCTAATTAATGGCTTCCTTCCACCTGCATGGCTGACACAGCTCCTGCCTGGGCTGCGCAGAAGCTCGGTGGAGGGACGGAGGACCGAGGGCGCAGAAGGAAGCACCTCCCGCGTCTGCAATGCCGGGGTCGGAGGGCAATGGCTCTTGGAGGGCAGCAGCCGTCACCGCTGCTTCCAAATCCACTAGAGAGAATGAAAAGCCGAGGACCGGGAATCTGGGCGTTGCATTTTTCAGGAGTGCTGAATAAACATGGGAACATGTATTTAAAGAAATTACCCAGCTTAAATAAACAACTGGGAAAACAGTGTTAGGTAATTGGATTTTCATAATCACCAGCTATGGCTTAATTTTAGGGTCAGGGAAGACCTGGAAATGACCTTGCTAATGATTAATAGGCTTTAGTAACCTGGTGGCCCTCCAAGGTGGACAGGTGGAGCTTCCTTTTGAGAGTTTTCAAACAAACATTGCATTAATCTTTTTTTTTTTTTTAATCATAGCCTGTAATAAAATCTGCTTCTATAAATGTATTATTAAAAATACTCCAGTGGATTCTCATCAGTGGACTTGTCTCTATTACCCAGTTGCAAAGAGGGCTGTGAGTGTGTAGTAAGACCCCCTCTGGGATACTAGACAATACACAGACACAAGTGGTTTCCTGCTTGCACTTATTCACGTACCTAGTGATGAGGTGGTTGTCCCAGCTGGTTAAACTTCAGAAGAGTTAGTCTCATGCTGATTTTTTAATGTAATGTTGTCACGAATGTTTACAATTCCTCAGATTCCTCATGTGATGCTCATCTCCATCAAGACACAACCTGTAGGGGATGCTGGGGGAGGTGTATCATAACACAGTCTTCTCTAATCTGGCCCAGACTATTAACATGGGGAACATATAGAATATGAAGTTATTTGGAAGGTAAAAAAAGGGTTGTAAGTATTCAGAAATAAGTGAAACCCCATGCATATGGCTCCTCCACTCTAACTTGAAACGGAAGGATACCTGTATGTAGTCAGGAGAGATAGATATACACACACACATACATATATACATGTTTGGAGAAAAATTAGTTGTCTGACTAGCAGTGTCATTGGTTCCACTGGTCTGATTGTGACTTCTTTATTCAAAACCTATTGGAGACAAGGGATAGTTACCAAAATGTCAGTAGGCTTTGGATTAGGTGTTACCTCCTTGTTGCTCTGTGGACAGCTTTGTGCAGTCCCTCCAGTAAGGTGGGAAAAGGTGGGCCCACTACCTAACCCCTTTCCACCAGTAAAAGAGAATTCTTCCTTTCTACTCTTTCCTACAGAAAGTGAAGGATTTAACTGTTGGAGGAACATAGAGAAACTGTTGAGGACCTGAGACTATAAGCATCTTCTATTAGGACATACAAGAGCACGATGGATTCAGGCCCTCCCTGATCTTTCAAGACAAGGCCAAATGTCCTGTTCTCAGCCTATTCCTCAGCAGGGTCTGGAAAGCAGTAAAGAAGTCTACGTGATTAATGTTAATCTTGGCAGTAGTTAGTATTGCTAATGTAAACATTATTAAAATCTTTTTATTAAGTGAAGCATGCTTCTTCAAAAGTGTTCTTTGAGATGCTTTTTTTTAATGGAAGAATTACCTTTAGAGTTATTAGCTATTGTATAGCCTCTTGTGGACTTTCTAAAAAGACCACTATCCTTCAGGTAATTATTTTCTGCCCTATATTCAGTTTTTATTCAACATGTAGCTTTAATGTTTTAAATACGCAGCTAAAAACTATTTCTTCTTTCCAGAGTAAGTTATTTGATTGTCAACACCGGTATTCGTCAATAATCCCCATAAATGGTAAAAGCTGTAAATTTGAAGTTATAATTAGATCAGGTATATTTTTTGTTGTTGTTAAAAAGGAAATAGCCTTTTTGCCAAGACTGTCAGTTACAACAATGTAAAAGCCAAAGAAAATATTAACATTTTCACTGTACTTTGTTACTGAACAATGTGAATACTTTTCCTCTATATTAGGAAATCTCAGTAGGCTCTCCCAGAAGTATGTCTGGGTCTAAATCGCTACCCATTTCTCAACCCAAGGTAGACTAAACAGTTTTGGAGAGGTTCATTGCACACCTCTTCTGTGGATTTCTGGATTGCTTTCAGAAGTCTGGGTTTGCAATATACGCCCTCAGAGCCACCTGTTTGAGGGACTGCCTTTTTCCACGGAATAAATTGCTAGTCGTGGTCAGAAGAGTTGCTTTCGCAGGAGGGTTTTTGTGAGAAAGCAGTCTGACAGGATGTTTTCCTCGAGAAGCAGCGTGGAGCTGGGGGTCTGGCTTCCCCCGCAGGCGGAGGCAGTCCCTGGGGAGGTAGGATGGGTACGTGATGGCTCGCAGCGTGCCCACCTCCCAGCCTGTCACCACTGCGGGTTTGGGTATGAGCACTGGTACCACTGAGTGGGGCTTGGGTACAGTGCAGGGTGTGTAGGGAGCCACAGAGCACTACTGGTAGCCTGTGCATGTATCAGTTGTTAGTCATTTCTGCTCGGGACGCTACTTCACTTCTGCCTACCTCCTAGCAATGTCAGCAGAATCGTACCACCCCTAATTCCCACTGCCAACAGAAATTGTCCCCATATAACCCCGGAGGCAGCCAGCTGCCTGCAGCCGCCTCGGCTCCATCTTGCCTCTCCCACCTCTGCTTCTGTCGCTGACTCACTGTTACCGTTGGTGGGCCGGGGCAGCAGAGCTCTTGCTATCACCCACCCATCACCCAAGCTGGAATAAACAGGCTTATGGACACTATGGCACAATGTGAGATTCACTGTTTCCATCAGGTGATCTGGTCTCTTGGCCATTGTAGCTTTGTGTTTTGCTAAGTGACAGGTGAGTGTGACTCAAGTAATTTCTATTCATGCAGGCTGACATGATAGAAATGGTTTAATTTAGAATGAAATTACTGAAGGCTCTGCTGACACGTATAAGAGGAAAGGAAGTGCATCAAAGTTGTGTCAGAACAAAAAAAAAAGTGTTATGTTCATATGGCTAGAAGCAAAGAAGAAAACGATAAACCCTAAGAGCACTCATTCTGGTGGAGAAGATCAGAAAACAGAACAGCAAAACCTGCCCTAAGTAAGGAGTCCCAGTGTCTGAAAAGACAGTAATTTTCTCAAATATGTGTGCATACAAATACCTATTGGCCACCCATAAGTAATGAAAGGGCAGTAAAAAGCAGGTATTAACACAAGCAACTTTTGCTGCAGACTAGAGGGAAGCATTCCCCCAATATGAATAGCACCTGCCTCACAGATACTATCTTATGATGTCTGTATGATATTTATAAAACTATGTGGTATTACTGCAAAAAGGACAGTTGTACCTTAACAACGTCCCAGTGTCCAGAGCGGTGTGCGGTCACACTCACCCCATGGGAGTTCTCCTGCCAATAAGAAAGGCACCCAACCATGCAGAGTCCTAGTAGGAAAACTGGAGTCACTGGGTAACGAATTAACCAGTAAATGGTTAACCACCGACATATGTGATTTTAAAAATGGGCAGGGTGTAGAGTTATATTCTGATCTGGCAGGATGAATATTAGGAGAGACTTGAGGCAGAGATCTTATGTGGTGGTGGTGTATATCCGGGCATGGTAGAGCAACCAGAAGCTTAAAGAACTCCCCTGTAAGCTTATATTAACAGAGAGACGAGAACGTGAAGAGGTAGGAATGGTTTTCTGGCCACCCAGTGCTTCCAGTGAAACCAGTCTTGCAGTCTTTGCACACCCAAATCTCCCAGTGACTACAGAGAAAGTCAGGGTGCATGAATAACTCGGGATCAGCTGTGTGAGTGTGGGACTTACAGTAACACAGATCTGATACAGCTGTTTTAATTATTTTCTAACACAGACGAGGCTCCAATGTCTCACTGACTTTGGATATGAGCAGTTTGGGAAGTGTTGAACCTTTCGTCACTGTGCCGACCCCACGAGAAAAAGTAGCGATGGAATACCTACAGTCCGCTGGCCGCGTCCTGACACGGCAGCAGCTTCAAGACGCGGTTGCATGTTCTCATTTACTTCAAACAGAATTCATGGTGAGTTTAACAACAAACTTTAAATGAAGGGGTTTTGACATAATTGGGACAACAGAAACTGTGGGGAAAAAATAAATTGGGCAATGCTTCCATGTTGAAGTACAAATCATTTCTGAAGGGCAGATTAGATATTTTCTAGGTGGTGCTTTATGTTTATGGACTAAAGACAGAAAAGTAAGTTGGTTATATCCATAGATAATACAGATTCCTCTCAGTTTGAAGTCCCATTCATAGACAGAATAAACATCGTGTTAGAGCTACAGTACAAACAGCCCAGGCTGTAACACTGTGACAGTTTCAAAGAGATCATAAAGGCTGTGATGACAGAAGACACAGTCATAATTGGAGATTTTGTTTATTCCCATGTAAACTTCATGTATGTTTGTAATTTGAAGACTAGATTTTTAGTCGCTATAAATGACTTTTTTGGAGCAGACAGGGACACCCACAGTCAGTCCAAAATATCCATAACAAGCACTCCCTACAGCAAGCCTAATATACTCAAGACCAAAATATCTGAAATCTCCTACAAGTTTGTTTAATATTAAAAAAGGGTAAGAATCTAAAGTGCAGACAGTGGCCAGGTAGAAATAAGTCAGAGCAGAAATCCTCAGTCAGGGAAAACATATTATTAAATATTACTTTAAGAAGACCTGAAAAAGACTGGTATTGCAAAACAGCCAGATGAAAGAGGTTATCAGAAATAAGGAGACACTCTTTACAAGGGAAATAAAACAGAGCATAAACTGAAGCCAGTTGCATGTGAAAGCTGAATAAGGCAGGCCAAAAAAGGTTTTGAGTTAAAAAAACACGATAGCTTCACTTTTAAATAGATCAAAAGCACGAAGCTTACTAAAGCATACGAGGATCAGCAGAGGATCACAAGGGTAGAAAAGGGACTTGGAGAAGGAGAAGCAATAGGAGAGAAGTGACCGCATGATTCGCATCTGTGTTGACCACAGAAGAACTGGGAATTTCCTACCTCTGTGGCAGAAATAGACTCAAAGAGATCACTGGAGGATCTGTCTGATATTGAAATGTTAATGGAAGAGATTCTAGAACTAATCAATAGCATTAATAGAAGCTACTCACTGGAATAAGCTGGTATTCACCCAGGAATCCTAAAGGAGTTCATATCTGCAATTACTGATGTATTAACTGGGCAGGTGTAACCTAGCACTTGGGCCCCAGCAGCTGAGGAATCAGAGGGCCAGAGGTAAGGGAAGGTTTTCAGAAGGGCTCCTGAAGAGATCCAGAGAACTGCAGGCCTATAAATCTAATGTCTCAATCAGAGAAATTGGAAGGAATTATAACAAAGAAGCCAATAGATATGTGAAAAAATGCAATACAGTGCAGAATAATCAACAGCTTTGGAAAGATTGGTTGCTTCTCAGAGTAAAAGGAGGTTACCAGTGGAGTCCCAGAGGCATTTATGCTGGAGCTGATACTGACCAAGATGCTCTTAAGTCATCTGGAAAAGGGAATAAATAGTAAGATGGTGAAGTTTGATGATGACACTGAATTACCGAGGGTAGTAAAATTAAAAATGGACTTCAAAGAAATTACAGAAGGTAACGAGGTGACAAGGCAGAGGAAATTCAAGGTTGATAAATAAAATATTACGCATTTGGGGGAAAATAGTTTTGTATACTTTGATGGGTTCTGAAATAAAAAGCTAAAAATCTTGGGAAAAGAACTAGCCAATATAGGAAACATCTTCATGACACTGGAAAAATCTATACTGCATTCACAACTGCACGATGCTCTGATCTCTCTGTCTTGAAGCACAAGGAGATACTAAATAGACGAAGACTCTTCTGCCTAGAAACAAAGACTGTGGGAGGCTGCAACAGAAACCTGTAAAATCATGGTAGCAAGGAGAAGGTGAAGAGGGAGTGATTATTTATGGTTCTTCATGCTAGAAGAACAGTATTGTGGCCAATGCGAAACAAAGAAAAGTTCATCCTGCTACCAGCTGCTATCAGAAGGTACCAGCGTGGACGAACCTAACATAAACAGCTACCCAACCCAACTTTAGCCTAACTTTTTTAGCTTTTACAACTCACTAGCAAACCAGACTAAACAAACAAAGCTTTTTAAGACTGGTTTAATAGCTCAAATTTAATAAATAGAGCCACACAGAAATGTGTATCCTAACAAGGCATGTCGGAGCAGGAAGACCTACACAACCCCTTGAGCATCCTACAGGTCTAACAAAGACATACAAACAATTTAGTTCTTATTAAACATGCCAGAGCACATGATCCCTTGGGGTTTTATTTTGTTTTCAATTTGTGCAAATAAGTCAATAAAATGGATGATGAGTGCCATCTTAATCTAGACGTAGTTTTTCATTATGAATAATTGCATCTCTATGAAACAGCTCTTTTAGTCACCTTCAAAAAGACAGGGTTTATCATAAAAGTCATTGGCTTAAGAAAAATAAATCCTTCGGTTGTTTTACATGGAAACATTTTAAGCATCTAACATACTTTTATCACCAGCTATGCCGTCAGTTCTCTGTCATTCTGCTGCTTAGGCAAGAAAGCTAGAAGAAATAACTTCATTGCCTTTAAACCCCCATGTTAGGAAGCAGTTTGTACAGACAACTTGGCACCTCCGTAGAATCCCATTTCCCCAAATCCCCTCACACAGCATCCGTGCGTGGCTTTGGGGCAACAGACTCACATTTTATTCGTCCCTCAGAGGGCACGAGACAACTTTGGCCATTCAGTGTTTCCACGGAATTTTATTGAAAATGTCATGACTTGTCCATTCCATTTTTAAACCACTTTTTAAAATGTGATTTAAGATGAAGCCATTGAACAGTATCTGTTTAATATCTTCCTTGTTACAGATAATAGCTTTAGTATGAACTTGAGGCATGCAGAAAACGCAATATATAACCCTCACTCATTTCTGCTCACTCAGCTTGTTTTAACTAGCTAAAGAAATACAATAAGACAGTCTTCTTGAGTCTAAAATTATTAGTTCCCATGAAAACCTTCCAAGTGTGCAAGAAGTGGAAAAACATTCAGTTTTCAATGGAAAACTGGAACGTGAGCAGTTTCAGGTTATTTTTAGGTCTTTAATTAACATTTAATTTGTTGATTAACAATTTAGTGGGCATTAACCTTATATTTTAATTGTAAAAACTGGTAAGTTACTATAAAAATATTTTTCCATAATACTTATTAAGGAAAATGAACTATTTTTCTTTTTTTTTTTTTTTAATGCTGACAAAAAGTTTGGCTACTTTTACTTGGGAGGATATACCTGAATTTGCAAGGAGGAAGAAACATAAATTGCCCAGCATACACTTCTTCAGTAGCCTGAGCTGCTACTATTTAAAAGAAAGAATGCCTGAAGTTGGTGACAGAACAGAAAAATACATTATTCCTGAAATACTGGAATGTCAGAAAATACAGTCCTGCATCAGAAAATGCCAGATTGTTAAATAAAATAAATAAATTTGGTTCTCATAAAATGGAGGGATGGGTACAATGAACATTTGCCTGGATTTTTGTAAATTTTGCCACATTTTCTGAACACTTTCAGAGACCCAAACCATATCTCTTTGAGTGTATGAACAGTTGTAGTGTTTAAAGGCTAATGAGAGCCAGAATAGCTATTATTAGAAGAGTATTGCCCAGAGGGGTGAAGTAGCCCAAGAACAACGCATATATATGCATATGCATATGTATTCATGCATGCAAGTGAGCACATGAATGTGGCAGCTTATATGTTATTTGTAATTATTTATATATAATATGTATATATGCTTAATAAAACAAATTTTTATATATTGTCTATATAACTAAAGACTCTGTATGCTAAGTTGCACACATTCATGCCATTTGCAATCTGCTGGGCTTATTTTCCCCCACATTAGCAGGAACATTATCCCCAGTTATCACGCTGAATTTTTTTCTGGAATCATCTCTTGTGTTTCACAGCCAGCTTCAGAGTAAGTGACTTGTCTGTAGCTGTGATCCATGGTGTATTGTCAAATTTCTGTCTGTGCCCTTGGCCCCACAAGTACTTATTACTGGGAGGAGCCCACTGACTAGAAAGTGTTTACAGGATGTAGGTGATTAATTGACCTTGCTGGCCCAGAGAAATGCATTTCTGTTTTCAACTCGGTGGCATTTCTCCACCTGTCAGTAACTCGCCAACTGATGAACTATTTTAAAATTTCAGCAGGCATCGAGAAGGAGACAGCCAGGTGTCTGGAAGAGCCCCACTGACCACCGTCTCTTGTTTTGCAGGCAGAGGACTCTTCCTCACACATCTTTTTCCAGTCTCTGTAGATGACAGATGTAGATCACGTTAACCAAAGCTTAACGTATTGCTCTCTCTCAGCTGGTATATAGCTGAGCTGGGAAACCTTTCAGAAGCCATGCACTGGTAGTGTTTATACTAAGCCAGAACTGAATCAGGGAAGCTCTAGGTCAGCCACCAGCCCAGTGTAAGGTGCTTACAACTCTTACCGTACCATACCAGAGCCAGTTAGGACAATCTGGAGCCCAAGGGTTGAGAGGAAGAGTCTCACAGAGGTCACCACTGGGAAGGAGTGAAAGTCAGAGGTGGGTATGAGAGGGGTGTAGAAGCTCATTTTGTAGTTCCAGGGAGGTAGAAGGGGCATCAAAGGCTGGACAGAGGTGAGATGGTTTGACCTGAAGGAATGAGATGAGGTTTACGCAGGAGTGAGGCCTTACAAGTGAGAACATCCACATCCTGCCCTTAGCACAGGCATCATATGAATGAGAGTACAGGGAGATGAAAAAGGACTGGGTGAAGTACCTGCAAGGAAGGTGTATCTCAGCAGCAGCACTTTGGCTGGCCTGAAATGAGAGGCAGCAAGTCATTCTCTTGAGGAGTCAGCTGAAGAGCAAGGAAGAGATTGAGGAATAAACTGAGTGAGGGAGAGAGGGAGAATGAAGAAAGCCCACTAAACACATGGGCATCAACCAGAGAAGGTAGAGGAATAATAACCAACACAAAAGTTGCAGCCTCATGTAGTAAGAGGTTCAGAAGCCAAGTTAGGAAGCAGAAAAGAATCAAAGCAATTCATATTGACCCATCTAAATCTTACTTAACTTTCCCTTCTCTTCAACCAGAAAAGTAAGAGCACAGCTTCCCCTGCTTGGTGAACCCATGTAAAGATCTGCCCTTCGCCACATCCTTGGCAAGCTGTTATGGGTCTTGTCCCTCTTCCTCCCATGAAAGCCCACAGCAGCCAGTCATGCTGAGCAGGACCAGAGCTTGGGTCCAAAGGGCAGCGGCCATGCACCTCATCTCTGCCAAAGCCCTGGGCAGGCCTGTGCCTGTGGAGTTAGAAACTGGATGATTTTGGAGGAAAATCCTTAAGAAACTTTTCCAGTGGTGCAAGTCAAAGGAGGTTTGCACTGAATAGGGCAGGCACATACCTTTTGCACCTCCTCATGTTTCTATATGTCTGTAAGAAGAAATTATTTAATATGCTGCTGTCTCTTTGGATAAACATCCCAGCCTAGCAATGAAGTTTTCAAGTCTCTAGTAATGACTGTGCTTTTAAGTAGAAGTATTAATTTACTGAAGATTAAATTCCAGCTTACCCTAAGATAATTCAAATAGTCATGGCCAAAAAATTCAGCGAAAAATGAAGAACTGAGTCAACTAATGCATTTTTTTAAATGTGATTTTGCCAGTTTGTTTTGGTTAGTAAAACATTCCCCACGCTCAGGAAAAAACCAAAAAACCTTACATGTTTCAAATGGTTTTTATTCAATTGTACAAACACTAACAATGTCTCAGGACTTCAAAATCAAAATTATTCTTCTTACCCTTTAGACCAAGTGAAACATTTTGTTCAATGAAAAATTGGAAGACTTCTACTTTTCATGCTGACGAACAATTTGAAAAACAGCAATTTTAAGTTGATCAGTAGTTTATAATTTGTATATTTTTGGAACTTCAAGCAAACTGTCACATTAGTTACTTGCACATCTGTGTATTTAAAGAAGACAATGCAGGTCAGTCCCTAAAAGATCAAAATGAGAATCAAGAGAAATAGCTTCAGGTTTTTATTACACTTCTGAGTCACTGAATGCAAAAGACTAAGGCACTTCATTCTAGTAGTTTCTATAAAAAGCAAGGTCTTTGACATTGTTAAGGGCTTTGCACAAAATTAAAAAAAAAAGTTTGCCATATATTATTATTTAATTATTTTGAAAGTTCCTCCCCCAATTATGTAAAATGTTGTGCTTTTCTGCTACAGTACTTCACTTTTCAACTCGCTTTTCTAGAACTGTTGTGTATTTTAACCTCTCTCCTAATCCTGTAAAAACTTTGCTTTTAATAATTCATCAGAAGTGTTCCTTGGAAGTCACCCCTTCAATATGCAACTCCTTATGTTTATTAAAGGAAGGGTGTTGACAGACTTGAGGTGGGAACCACTTTTTTTCTTAATAACTTTGATGTCAAAAGACAGTTGTGTAACAGCAGATGGCCTTCTGGTGATAATTTCCTGCATGGCTCCTTTGGAAACACCAATCTGATTTAATTTATTTTTTATAGGAAATACCAATGAATTTTGTGGATCCCAAAGAAATTGACATCCCAAGTCATGGAACTAAAAACCGCTATAAAACAATTCTGCCAAGTAAGTGAGTTAGCCCGTGGTTTCCTACTATGACATTTAGTTCTGCTTTGAGAACATATTGCTGTGAAAATCTAGCTGTCTTTATCTTTGATTGTTGTGTACCTATTCCTAAACATATTCGTAGTCAATGTAGAAAGGTGACAAAAGCCCAGTGCTGTAGGACTGGCAAATGCAGAACTCTGACTGGATGCCTGAGCAGGTACACGCTTTGGTAGCATCGGAACCACATACTGAAATGCAGCCTGGGTGCATGCTGGTTTTCTCTGGAGGGCAGGTCAGGCAAATGGGTAGAGGGAGGCCTGCTGTGCCTCGCAGTAGCTCCCTTGGTCTGGAGGATGAGAGGACCAAGACTGTTGCCTCCATCACAGCCCACTCTGTCTTGCAGTCACTGAATTCCTTCTGGTTGGATCAAGCTTCTTGGGATCCTGTCCAACTATAAGTGGCCCAGAGTAAAAAAAGCAAGTGCACCCTATCCTTTCTTGTAGCGGACGTCCATCTTTACAAGTCCTCTGGTGTTGTTTTTCTTCTCCATACCCACATGGCTTTGTGGAACTCTGTTTACATTAGTAAGAAAACCACTCTCACACAGTGCTGCCTCACCATTGCTGTAAACTTGTTACTGCTTTGCTGTAATGCTTCTGTATTTTCATTGGCCCAAATTATTGATTTCTGACGAGGTAACAATTGCTTTGTTATAATTAGAGGTGATTGAAAACTTTTCAGTGGAATAGTTTTCCTTCAAAATACAAGTTTCTCTGAAATTAAACTATTTTCATAACATCTGTTGAGGGATAATGAGATATTCCATTTCTCTTTTATTAATCATTTTGGTTTGTGTTCAAATTCAAAATAGGTTGCCGAAGTTTTAACATTGCACTAAATATAGACATGAATAGTTGTGGTTTTTTAATATTTTGACACCACCAAAGTGAAAAAGTTCAGTGATTCAAAATGTAGGGGGACACTCCCACAGAAAAATGTAAACACGTCCCTTTGGTTAGGTTTGGAATGAAGAATACTTTTTAAATGTCAGCATATCGTATCAAATAGAAATTTGTTTTCTAATAATCTCTATAATGTCCTTGTAGGCCTATGTTCTATATTAGTCATGCAAGTTCACACACTTTACAGGACAAGACTTCTCTCAGCAAGCCTGAAAGCACTGTAATTTGTTCACATCATACAAAGGCCTGGCAGTCAAATTAATGGAAACTGATGGCCTTCAGCTGCTAGATTAGTCTCAGAAATGTGATATGTAGCTGGGAAAGAAACTCATTGTGTGGAGTCCTTGCTTCCCTTCAGCCCCCAGTAAAATTCCCACTGACTTCAAGGTTAGTTCCTCTATTGCAAGCAATAGCTGTGCGCAGCTGAGTGCAGTGGAGGAATGTTGAAGCGAATTAAATAAAGAAAGTAACTGAATGCAAGTTATATACCAAGCAGTCAGAAAACTCAGCGTCTCTTAGGGTCTGGCCCAGTGTCAACAGGATGTACACAGCGGGTGAAATCCTGACCCCTTTGACGACAGCAGGAGTTTTGCCATCAGCTGCAGTGGAGCCAGGATATGGTCAAGCCTCCCTCTGCCTGACAGCCAGGATTTTTGGAAGGAGTTCTCCCTTCCCATAGCATCTTGCATCCGAGCTGTCCCAGCCACCGTCAGGTTCTCCTTCAGCAACACCTTGCAAACACGATGAGCCCTATTTCACTGCAGCATGTGTTTTGAATCAGGACACGACAGCTGGGCCGTGGTTGATGCTGATGAGCTTTGAGAACCAGCACGCCTTTGAGTTTTCACCTCCAGTTAGCCGGGACGTGCTGCCAACTCCGTGGCACATTTTCAGCCCAAGCACACTGCCAGCATGCACCACAGCTACTCACCGACAGGCGCTTTGTAACCATCCTTGACAGAAATCAAAAGGTCTGTTGCGTGTTAGCACCAGGCTGTTTCAAAGAAGATATTTTGAGGATTGAGGCACATGCTCATAATAAATACTCATACACCCCGCACCCAGTCCAAGAGGGTTTGGAAACGATTTGAGTGATTAAATAGAACAGCCTTCCTGGTTTCCTGCTCCGATGATATCAACCCGCTGCTTCGTATGCCCGCGTCAGCTTTTCCATTCCCAGCGCTGGGTGCGTCTCCTGAATCGGAGCACCTGTGGTGACAAGTGACGTTCGAGCTGACGGATTATCTCCTAAAAATGCCCAGTCCTGCCAGCTCCACCCTCTGCACTGTGGAGGCTGTTCTCGTGTTCTAAGAGATAATTCTGTGGCAGGGTACATGAGGGCAGGTTCATGTTAATAGATGCTACCCACTCGGACACACTCAGGTGAAATAAAATGAATGCCTAATGAAAGTTATTCTATATGGAAAACTATAAAGTGCAGGAAGTGTTACATTTCTATGAAAGATGTTTCACTTGCAGTATAACATAGCCAATGCTCCTATCAAAACACTAGGATGCCTCTTTAAGTTTTCTAAGTGTTATTTGCTTTATAATAATATGCTAATACAACAAACAAGGGGACAGTGTGGGAACGGAGGCAAGTGGCTAAACAATTCCTTAAAATCACTGTTTCTCCATCCTTCCTCCTGACAGCAACCCCATGCACCAGTCCTGTTAAACCCAGCTCCATATCTTCAGCTGCATTCCCTCTGCCATCCATGTACAACATTTCTCATTCCCTCTGAGCAGGTTCCCAGTCCTGCGCACAGATTTCCTAGTCTCTCACCACAGTCACATCCTTGTAGGAGAACACCAGCCCCCCCTCATCCTCTTACTCCACATCTTCACTTTCGCCCACTTCTCTCCTGCAGCCCCAGCTACAAGTCCCACAGCAGGACCTCAGCTTCATTTTTCCACCTCAAACCAGAAGCAGAATTCCCGTGGTTGTTCAGGGCATGCATGGGCTCTTGCTTATAAAGGAGCGAGTGGCTTAACACTATTCCATGGGTATCTTCATGTGTGCAACACATTCAAGGTACCTGGATGTCATTCCTTACCCCTTTCTGAAGAGTCCCTTCAGGGCAAAAGCCTACATGAAAACACTCACGGCAGAACAGAGGTGGGGGTCGACCTCTTCTCCCTGGTAATGGACGATAGAACGAGGGGGAATGGTTTGAAGTTGCGCCAGGGCAGGTTTAGGCTAGACATTAGGAAAAACTTCTTCACTGAAAGGGTTGTCAGGCTGTGGAATGGGCTGCCCAGGGAGGTGGTCGAGTCCCCATCCCTGGAGGTATTTAAAAGAAGGATAGATGAGGTGCTTAGGGACATGGTTTAGTGGTGGGATGTCAGGGTTAGGTTAAAGGTTGGACTCGATGATCTTAAAGGTCTTTTCCAACCGAAGTGATTCTATGATTCTATGAAGGTAGAAAGCACTTGGCGGGTCAGACCCGCAGATCCACAAGCTGTTGCTTGTGCTAAAACAGCCTCTGGCACTCCAGCTAAAGACAAGGAGAAAGTTAAATCTAAATCATATGAACAAAGCACTTTATTATGCAAGTTTATAGACAGATGCTGGAAAACCGTTCTCTTGATGTCGAGAATTTTCATCTCCCTTGCACTACAGTCCTGACTATGAACAGTCATGTTTGCTCTGATCCTGCTCCCTAATGAAGGTAATAGGATCACCATCAGGCTTTCAAAGACTAAAGAAAAAATCATATTTACAAAGCAGAAGAAGAAAAATTGTTTAATTGTAGCAGAATTCAACATGGGTTCATTGAAGCATTTTTGTATATCCATGTGAGTCAATAAAATGTGTCCTAGTTGTGGTCACTACATCTATAATATTTGTAAATAGCCAGTATTATAATAACTGATCTATGTTAGACTGCATAGTTAAGAAAGTAAACGGATATTAGGCAGACCTTATTTCTGATAGATAAGAAAGATTCCCTTTGCATGAATGAAACTTTATTTTGTAATGCTGAAGCATGTTTTAAAATGCACAAGCACTCACCGTGATAAATCTGTTAAGTTTTCCATTGAGAAATCCTGGATTATATTGGAAGTGCCAGGAAATTATTCAGATGAGACTGAAAAATTATGCATAATTTACAGGTATTTTATACATGAGGTGTTTTGAATCAGTTGTATTATTTGCAAGTCTAATAGCCTATTCCCCACCTGGCAGAGATTGGGAGTGCAGTCTGGTATGGTTCTTCCATGTTCTCTGTTACAGTGTTTACCAAATAATACCAGTATCCATAATTCATTTATAGTCTGCAAGCAAACCCAGGCAAAATAGAGGTGGATGAATTTCAAAATGTTTCAATGTCTGAAAGATTTATGATCTTTTGGGCTGCAAGTGTGAGAGGGGTCTGACTCACGAAATTTTCGTCTCCATTTCCTCCTCACAAAACAGAAATACCTTAAGGACAGCCCTTCTCCTAATATTTCAGTCCTACTGTTGATAAGGCAACTAGGACTGGACTAGGAGTAGCAAATTACTAATCTTGGAAATGCTACAAACACGAACACATCCATGCCCTAAAGAATTCAGAACATAGTAGCAGTCAAAGCGGAAGAAGAAAAAAACAACCACAGCACATCACACCCACTGTACAACAAATACAGCCTTTGCAATGGGACAAAGCCCTGGGTCTTCATGATGAAGTGGTGTTCATGAAGTGGGCGAACCTCCAGTATTGATGGCAGTGGGGGAGGCTGTCCAGCAGCGCCACCATACAGACCAGCTTTTTCCCTGCACCGGGCAGTCTCACAGGGGCAAGCTACAGCCCCTTTAACACCCTCCTATTCCTCCAGCCTGGTAAATTCAGGCCAATATTAATTTCTTAAAGATGGAGTTAGAGGAAGCTGCTTCTACTCTAATGGGAGAGCTATTCCAGACTTCCTAGGTACAGGGAAGAAAATAGCAGTAATTTTGCCTCAGTCGAAATTGTAGGAGACATTTTTTATTAGCAATTATAAGTGCTTAACAGCTCTGCTGCATTCCAAGATGCTTTACAAACATTGATGAATTCAGCCTTGCAGCCACCATCTGCGTCTTTCTGCTGTAGCTTCAGACTCTCAGACTTTGCCATCCTTGAGGAAAAGATTATTACCTCCAAGGTATTTGTCATTCAGAAGGAAGCTAATTACTTCCATTTGTGTCTGATGATTGCTTAGCAGCTCTGGATCTTTAGTAGCATTCAGGTTTCCTCATTTCAGAGCTGAGTTTGCAGCACTTACCTATTTCATAACTGATCAGGACTGTTAACTTATAAAAGATTCCCATTCAGAAGCAGTGTTTGTTTTGTTGATTGGAGTTGGAAGGAGGACTCAGAAATTGTGAAATTGGCTTAGCTGCTCCTAAGTAACAGAGGGATTTATCTCAAGATATGATAATTAAACTGGATGTTGAGTCTGCTTGGAGAGGTTTTTTAAGGTAGGGGTCAAGCTACACCAGAATCAGAGGCATTGTGTGAGCTAGAGGAAGCGGGTGTTTTTTCAAGGCCACGTAGCCTGAGGCATTTGTGGAAATGGCTAATAATCACTCTGTGCTGAAAAGGAATGAGAGGTTTCCTGTCCTCATATTGTTAAGGAGAAAAAAAAAAAAAACCTCTAAGTGAAAAAGTTGGGAAAGCTAGTACAGAGAGATTTAACACAAGCTAGCAAGAGTTGTGTTATTCACGCAGAGGACAAGACTTCCACGCACAGGCTTTGAACTAGAAGTCATGCATTGGTTTGCACATTTTAAGAAACATACTTTCAAAACCCCAGCCTGGGTCCTTCAAAGGCTCCACTCTTGTCCAAGACATTCCTGTGACCTCCAGTGGGAAAAAGGACATAAAGTATGTTTGGGATCATCCCTCCTCTTCCTTTGATTTGCAAAGGTTTTATCTTGTTCTTAGGAACAGGATGAAAAGTCACAAAACAAATCCAAAAGCAGCTCTGAAAATACCAGTTTTTCTTCAGCATACGTACACCAATTATATATTTATCGCGTAAGCAGCAGGGCCATACAATAGATAGTGTTTTCTTACCACTCTCCAGTTCAGCATCCATGTATGTCTCTTTGAACACATTGCCTGGATGGCACTCAGCAAAGCAGCTACCCAGAGACTATTTCCAAACCAATAGGTGTCTGTATTCTGTCAAAAAGCTGCTGATTCTAATTAATTATTTAAGCAAATTGCCAGAAGAAAAGATTTTTTTTTTTAGTACAGAAATAATTCCTTATGATTTTATTAACAGTAGAATACTTTGTCAGAAAAGGTGTGAAGAAAGTCAAAGTGTGCCCCTAGACAGCCACAACATAGGCACCTCACTCCCCTTCTCCTTATCCCTTTCTGTTATGCTGTGTAACTGAGAATTTACTGGCTTTAGTTCCAAAAGGGTAATACATGGGGGATCATATCATCACAAATGAGCAAGCAAAAACTTTCTTTGCAGGAGGGATTTAGTAACCCTGTATTCAACAGAACTGGCCCCCACTCTGCCCTAGATCATCCAACACAGTGAAGGAAAGAAGATCGTGATGGAAATGTTCCTGTATTTTGGCATTGTGTCTCCAGTCTAGTACACATGAATGGTCACAAATCATGTCAGATGAGAACACAGGACTGAAGGGAAGGATACGGATTATCTAGACCGGCTCCTTACAGTGAACTTAAATTGGTATAAAAACACATAGCTGATTTCATCCCAGGCAGAGGGAGCTTTTCTTAATTTAAATCCAACTGTAGTCATTGGAACAGTACAGCTTCAGGCAAAGATATCAAAGCTGAATCCAAAGGACTTGGTATAATTATCTAGCACCGTACAATGATACAACACAGGTTTCAGACACAGTCTAGGCCAGTCAGCTTAACACTCAACACAGGCAGACTAGACCTTGCTGAACATTGCCTGGACCTGATAGCTTTGCTTCAACGCCCACGGCTTGCTGAGACACTTCTACACAGCCCAGCATTGTCCAGTACAGATGTGCCTTAGTTACACATGATGATCCTTTGCAGAGGGAAGAATTCGATGCATAATGTTTCAGTGCTTGACAACCCCGAATAACAGCAGATTATTTTCTTCAACGAGTCTTTGATTCTTTATAGAAATCTTCTAATTATGGGTTTTCTTTTCAATTTCCATCTTCCTTGTGCTCTTAGATCCTCTAAGCAGAGTGTATTTGAAACCCAAAAATCCATCTGACTCCTTGAGTACCTACATAAATGCTAACTACATTAGGGTAAGTAAATGTACACTCTTCATGTGCTTTTGAGACAGTATTTGATTTTCCACATGAATAGCTGGTTTTGCCAAGGTGCCACTCATTTTACTCCTGCCCATCTTCATTGACAATTCCTAATCTTTTTGTCTATATTGGTGTGGTAGAAGTAGTTTCATGAGCTGTTTGTAACAAAGACCATATAGCCATGAATGTACTAAAATGGTTGCAGTCAGAAAACAATTTATCAAATAGTTTTTAAAAAACATTAATAAACACATGCATTACTATTTGTTTACTTCAGTATTTACCATTTAATATTGTCCTACTGCCTTATAGTAAGGAAAAGAGGGTTACCTTTTAACAGTGACAGAGATACTGGTATTTTGGTAAAGAGAAGATCAGAGTCAACAGCAATATAAGCTGTATGATTGCTCATTGCAGTCATGTTATCCACAAACAAGTTCAGTGGTGACTGGTTTTTTTCATGCGTAACTGTATCAATTGATAGTCCTGAAATCATCAGTTAAGTAATTAAATAAATACTGTAACGAGTTTGTGACAAGGAGCATAAACAGATACATTAAATATACACGTGTGCACCAGCACGCACACTTGTTCACGTTTTACTCCCTATAGTGAATGGTTACACGATACAAAGACTTTACCAGCGTGAACCCTGTTGGAAAGCTCTATTTCTAAGTCTCAGCTATGTTATAATCCTCGATGACACACGCACACCCAGAGCCTTCTTGAACTCGTGGCACAGCATGTGCTGAATAGACTACTAAGAAACTACTTCAGTCATGTTTTAGGAGTGTAGTCATCTACTTGCAAAATTAAATGTTTTGATTAGGGTTATGTACCAGATCCTCAGCTGGAGTAAATATAATATTGCAACAGAAATTTGGCCCCAGAGCCCTACAACAATGTTGCTTATTTAAATAATGGTACATTAATATATACATACGCATCCCCCATGCCCCTTACCCTGCCTCACTTTACAGCCTGTACTTTCAGCATTTTGTATGAAAGACATCATCATGTAACTAAGTAGAGCGGTCCTCTTTGGAGAGCAACTCCTCCACCAGCCAGGCCATGTTTTGAGTCCTCTGAGGTCTCCCTTTTCCCCATGCCACCACCCTTCAGGCCGACATACGGTGATTTCTCCAGCTGCTAACACTGGTTGAACTGTCAGCAACCACAGATAAAATACAACCCAGCGATGAAATGAAATTTCACATCCATGTATTCAACATCATTAGGCTTGCTGGGATCCTGACAGACCTGTCTTGGACAAAGTATGTTCAGGCAGGTTGGTGAGTAGAAGGAGGACTGTTTATACCAGCTGAGGATCTATCTCATTGGTTCATGCAACAAGTAACAGCTCTCAGGAAGAAAGGCACTCAAAAGGAAGACCCATGGCTGGAGGCTCCCACACCACCTCCAGCCGTTCTGCATTCACTCATCTCCTTCAGGCATTGCCAGAGTCTCCTGATCTGCGTTACTGTTGGGCACCCTATCACTGCACAAACTCACAAGTTCTCCCTCTCACCCCAAAAGTAAGAAGGCAATCTCTTAGTTTTCCCATTTCTTCTTGCCTTTCCCTTTCCTCTGCTTCCCCACTGTTTGCCTGACCTTTCTTTGACCTCCTATACACTTGTGTGTCTCAGGAGTCCCTATACAGATACGTTGTCCCTCCTATAAGGTCTCATAAAGGCACTTCTCCCTTAGTAAAGATGCATAGCAGAGTCCCTGACTCCACAAGCATTCATGTATTTTAAATCTTTTTTCCTGTCGTGAATTTTCATAGAAACCAGTTTTATAGTTCTTTTTTTTTTTTCCTGTGGTTTGTTGACTGTAAATTATCTTGTAAACACTGCAGCAATATAAATCATGGATTAAAGTACCACTGGATGATGGAAAGCCCCAACAACTTGGAGAACACAGTAAGCTAGAAGAAGACAAGTAAGCAGGAAAATTTGAGAGGGATCAATATATTCTCAGGAACATTTCAGTCCATCCAAGTAGTTTCCAGAGGAAAAACTGTTCTACTGAAAAATTTCTGATCTGCTCTACTGTTAGTCCTAAATGCTTTCAGTTCAAGTAACTATTTTTTTTTAAATTCCAGATTCATTTTTTCTGCTCTTTTAGACCATTCACCTGCAATTTTGGTTGACCACATGAATTTAAAGTAAATGCTTTTGTGTCTGTTTCTAAACCAGGGATATGGAGGTAAAGAGAAGGCTTTCATTGCAACTCAGGGACCCATGATTAATACCGTGAATGATTTCTGGCAGATGGTTTGGCAAGAAGACAGCCCTGTTATTGTTATGATCACAAAGCTGAAAGAAAAAAATGAGGTATGACAACTATCTAAACTGAGAAATTATTCCTATGGCTGCATACTGTAGGAAGAACCTTAGCAGATATGGAAGGAAGCTACCACATAACCGGCTCTTAAATACTCTGGTAATGGGCAATGTGAAAAGTAATGTTAGGGTAGCCAAATACACCAACTGCAATTGCATACCAAACATAAGAGTTGTATTTTAAAAAAAAAAAGACAAAAAGGAATTCCATTTTCTAGATCTGTGCTGTTGCTTTCATAATTTTTTAAGAAAAACCTCATTTATCTGTTGGGCACCTCTGTACTTCTTGTTACTTTCTGGTATATAAAGATTAGATGGTTAATGTTATGATTAGAGGTTTCCTGACATGGTTAAAGCTTGCACTTTGCTATAATGGCAGGTTTTGAAACCCTTCCAGATATTACAAATCTTCTGGACCATCCCAGAAATACAGTTTGGGGTCCCAGATGCCAATACCATGGAGGGACTTAGCCAGAAGGGAAATACATGGCTCTTTACCTTAGTACCAAGTAGAAATAACAATTGCATTTTAATTGCTAATGGCCGTCTAACTGCCTGTTATACATTCTGTGACTTTTGGATAATTTCCTAACTACATCTTTAATAGCTTTATTTAGTATTCATGTAAATTTTTACCAGGCTTTTCTTGATAGTGCCAGAGTCCGTATTTGTGACTGCCAGACATTAGGAATGAAAATCACTCTCCCGTGCAAAGGGCCAACACAAAGCTCTGTTCTGGAAGATTGAATGTTTAAGAAGTGCTTCACAGGGCTTGTGGATAAGAGAGAGACAGACAGAAACGAGTTTGACTTTTTTCTTGAGTCCAAACTGCTAGACTTAGTAGCAATTCCCAGCTCCAGGTAGGTGCCTCAGTCCAGTCTCAGCACCTCACACACCTGCTCTTCAAACTCAGACGCATGTGATGGTAGAGAAACAGAGTTTATTCAGGTAAAGCTCCCAGTCTGAGTGATCAAGGGACCAAGATCCTGAGTGCGTTCCCAGGGTTCAAACTCACTGCTCCATCTAAATGTGGACTCAGTAGACATACCCTTCTTCTGCCCTTGACCACTGTTTGGCTTTTTGTCACCATAAGTCTGGGCTTCTAACATGAACTTAAAATCCAGTGGATTTTAAGAAAGCTGTATGTAAAAAGTAGGTAAGTCCTGTAAAATATCCCAAGACGTATTTCCAAACCAGGAGCCATTTTGCACTAGACTGTTCAAACAAGTGTCCAGAAGCCTACATTAAAAAGATTACTCCTGAAAACGTAGAAAACTTAGCCCAGCCTAACTGGCCCAAAGAATAAGTATTTCACTGAGGAAACGCTGACTGTTTAAACACTCACATCTGACACTGTGTAAGAAGAATGACTTGAAAGAAGTGTCCAGTGGTTTCCATCGTGTCAGGAAGCCCTGTGTTTACCTGAGTTACACAGGCTCTAGGCACTGGTGTTTATCCGCATTGTTGTGGCCTGGCAGTGGTAATTTCCTCCTAATAGAAAGGGTGGGGAATCTCAGATCATTCCCAGGCTATATAAAGAGGCTGTGTTTGCACAAGCTGTCCTACCCTGCCTAGAAACCTTAGGAGCTCTCCCACCATTAGCGGGTTCCTCCTGAAACTTTGCTTGCTATAGAGAAGAAAACAGCTTAGCTGGTGGCTGTGCTCAGCGTGTTAACTTCACTGTTAAAGTATTTGCTCTCTATAGAGAAGGCAAGAGCAGATGTTATTTAGCATAATAGCACTTGATACTTTTTCTTCTCTGTGGTCTGCTTTATTTCCATCATTTTCAGGGAGGTACATCTGCAGTATACACACATACAAATACCTTCATGTTTGAAAGCGTATTCATCCACTCATCCACATCCACCCCTGCACAAATAAACCGCCGTACCTGACTCTCAGGTATGGGCCCCATTCCTCAGCTGGTATAACATCAGTCAGCCTCCATTTGAGCTATAATGTACTGTAATGTATAAAGTAATGTATAATGAGGGAGCTCTCAAATGAAAGACACGTGGAAAACCTTAATCTCAACAATAAATTAATTTATTTAGTATAAGAAAAGTTATTTGGGACATTAGTGTCCTAGTTCAATATACTGATGTGATGAATTTGCAATAACAATGGGAATTGTGTGAAATGATGATAAACAAAGGTTCTTATAGCATTACTTCCTTCCAGGAGATGAAAAAATGGTTAAGACTCATAGGTTTTGTAAGATGGATGAAGATATAATATGAAAGTAGAGTGCTGAGCAAAATACTCATTTCAGCGGTATGAAAAAACTGTGGAGCATTAAATTATTGGTTTTTCTTTCTTTTTCATTTTAAAGTCTGATTAAAAAAAAGGAGATTGATTTGTAAGGAAGAATAATGCTGAAGGAACTATGGCTGCTGTGAGTATTTTAAGCAGAATCTGTAAAACCTGTCCTCAAAACTACACAATGTCTGAACAGACTGGAAATCTACCCGTGCAAGAAGAGTCCACAGCAAAGGAGCTTCTGCCTGAATAAAGAATGAGAAACTTGGAATTCTAGGCTATAATTTTAGGGTAAATGAGGAAAACCACATCTCATCTAATGATCTAGGTACCCTCCCTGGTTACTGAAGAGCAGTAGTCACCTCCAGAGGGTGATCCATCCCACGCTAAGAGAATGAGATAAGTCACCCGCTGAAAGTGAGCATCTCTGATTCTGTAGTAATATTTTAGGACACGATCTTACAAAGCTGTATCCAGAAGGCACAGGTAAACTTCATATATTACTGGGTTTGGTCAAGACAACTGAGCAATGGAAATTAGACAAATATGTGGAGTGTAAGAATTTTGTAGACTTCTATATAATTTTATAGAGAAGTTTATAGACTTCTGTTTTATCAGCTGTTTTTTGTAGTGATGCTATGTACTCTGTAGATAACATGCATTTACTCTGCCTTCAAAACTTACCAGCAACATTACCTGTTAACCCATAAATGTCTTTTGGGAAGCACAAATAAAGAATAATGTGCAGCATTCAGCAAGAAGAAAGGACTAATACTGACAGATGCATTAAACAATGTGTGTTTATTCAACTCAGATAATGTAAATCTTGTTGTCAGTAATTATCTAGGACAATCTTGTTAACTCACTGTTTAAAGCTCATATTCTTTTTCATGTAGCATTTTTTCCCTCACTTGGTCTATAGGCACGCTTATCTATGCATAGCAAAGTCGATTTTGGAATTTGGAAATCCTACCTTTTACAGAATTCACATAAGCCTCTTTGAAGATTACTTATTAGTTAGGTTGAGTATTGGCACCGTAGATATGTCTTAGGTTTTGGCAGAACTTAAGAAGATTTGGTCCTAACTTTGAGGATTTTAGTATATGAAGGCAAATCCTGCAAGCCCTCTTAAAGTACAGCTCTCATGCTTGCGTTAGTAGTGACAGCAAATAGAGGGCAGGAGTAAAAAGGGATTCTGAAATGAAGCTTTGTTGTAATTATTCATTACTGTGGTGTGTTGGCCTGCTTATTGGGACATTTAAAGTGTAAATTTGTTGGCATAGCTATATGGAAAACTAAACAAGAAGTGGAGCTGAAGTAAAGCAACTTCACAAATATTTGAGAATTGTCAAACTAATTTTGTTCAGGCTCCAATCCAGGGAAAGTAAAGCAGGTAAATAACAATGTCAGCTGAGAGCGCCTTCAGCATAACTGGGGGGACCAGGCTGCAATAGGAGCGCTTCTGGCAAGTTAAAAAAGCCTGTGGTCCTGAGCCCAGACCGACCGCGGCAAACAGCAGGTGCCAGCCCCGGCCCAAGGCAGGGCCAGATTCTGCTCAGGAGAGCTCCCATGGGCATGGGATGGGGTGCGCAAGGAGACAGGACAGGGGACGGAGGGAGCCTAAGCCTGCAGCCCTGTTGCAGGGGGAAGGACAAAGGCTGAAATCAATGAAAGGCCATGTGAGAGACCATTTCTTGTATAAACTTCCTGTTCGGGTCAGGGAATGTGGTTGATGTTTTCGGGTTTTTTTTAAAAAAAAAGGTCAGGCACCAGATCAGAAATAAATAATCATTTATTAGCAAAAAGCTAACCAATGGAAATGAATCTGAGGGGGGAATTTGAAAGACAGCAGGAAGATGAGATTTTCCATGTGAAAGTAAGAATATTCCCATATTTGGCTGCCATGCAAGTTGGTTAGGATTTTTTTTTTTTTAGCTTAAGCGTTTTTAAAAAATCCTGCTTATAGCTGTTATATGTTTGCTGACTACATAAAGGATTGTACGTGCAATCCCAAGCTCACAAAATATGTGACCTTTTTAGAAAGTGCTGTAATAGATGAATGTGCTGAAAGGGAAACTACGCAGCCTGAAAGAACAGCAAGGAACAGAATCAGGACCACCACAAAGAGTGGAGGTGGAGGACTAGTGTGTACGGTTTTGGGCCCCTCACTACAAGAAAGACATTTTGTTGCTGGAACATGTCTGGAGGAGAGCAACAAAGCTGGTGAAGGGTCTGGAGAGGCTGAGGGAACTGGGGCTGTTTAGCCTGGAGAAGAGGAGGCTGAGGGGAGACCTTATCGCCCTCTACAACTGCCTGACAGGAGGCTGTAGCCAGGCGGGGGGTGGGCTCTTCTCCCAGGTAACAGGCGACAGGACAAGGGGAAGTGGCCTCAAATTGCTCCAGGGGAGGCTTAGGTTGGACATTAGGAAAAATTTTTTCAATTTAAAGGCTGTCAAGCATTGGAATGGGCTGCCCAGGGAAGTGCTTGAGTCCTCATCCCTGGAGGTGTTTAAAAGCCAGGCAGATGAGGTGCTTAGGGACATGGTTTAGCGGTGGGATGGCAGTGTTAGGTTAATGGTTGGACTTGATGATCTTAAAGGTCTTTTCCAACCTAAACGATTCTATGATTCTACGCAATGATAAGTACAAGTGAGTTCTTTCTTTTTTCTGATATACACTGTAGGCGATAAGATTTTAGTGAGTACTAGAACGCACCCTTCTTAACCACTGTGTTTGGCTTTTGGACAGGTTTAAAATATACTTACCTGAGACCAGTGGATTTTTCTCTAAGGTTCAAGCAATAGCTTGAGGCAATTTACTCTTTCTTTGCTGATGCTCATAGGATTTTCTATATGATTTTTTATAGGTCAGATATGTTTATCCCTCCCATCTCCATCTTTATCCCTTTATTAAAATAACTTTCAAAAAACATGCTCATTCCCCCAAATATCTGTCTTCTTAGAAGTGCCTGAACCAGCTGATCCCAGCTCTATTTTCAAGCCTATTTTTTTGAAGCAGTAACAAATGGTATTTTAAAAAGGTGCACGGAGACTGTGTTAAAAATAATCCATTGTATCTCACTAAATGTAGACAGACTGTTAAATGAAAGTTATTTTAATGAACAGCCCATTTCATTGTCCACCCAGCACAAGTCGCCAAGGAAAGAGTCAAGAAAAACACTCTTCTGGAGTGCCTGAAGGCTTTGTAGTGAGCGTCGCATGCTTGCATTTATCAAGAAGTCTCAGGGGCTGATTCAACTATTGTTGATTGTCAGGGCACAATTGTGTATTTAGACTTTTCTTTTTCCCATATTAGCACTGAAAACTGCACTCCCAGGGAGGGGCATGAGTTGCAGATCTGGCAGATGATAGTGGCTATATGTGTCACATGGGGGGGGACTGTGGAACTTGGGAACACTTTTTTTCATACAAATTTCTGAGTATTTTATTGCCATTCTTGATGTCTTCGGGGAGACGGCAAATTTAGGATGTCCGAGTAATTCTGCAAAAGACAGGATTTGAACGAAACCAGTCAGATTGGCCAGCATTCTTTCAGAAAATGCGGCTCTCACACACCTTACACTATTAAGGTAATGAGCATCTATTTTTAGAAAAGTATTTATGCAGCAGAGATGATTCGCTTCAATCAGCTATTGGGTTATCAAGTAGAGTAACAGCTTAAAGATCACACCTGGTGGCAAAGCCTTGCAATTCACTGATAGTTTTTTCTGGTTGGTTTTTAGCAGGATTTACTGGGAGTCATGCTTTATGGCAGTTCATTATATTAAAGGGATTGTTTCATTTTGCTGTGTAATGTAGGCTGCTGTCTAAATATATACCAGTTTCTTCAGCAAGAGTTTGTGAGGAAATACAAGCAAGTTCTTTCTGGGATTCCTGTTATTGTAGAACTCTCTGTTGTGTCAGTGGTTTTGTTTTACCTAGGCATTGGATGTTAAAAAGGTGGTTTTCTTTAATTGTTGGATTTGGGGTTTTTTATTTTTATTTAATGAACAAGTCAGATTGGCCAGCATTATTTCAGAAAATGTGGCTTTCAAACACCTTATACTCTTAAGGTAATAGACATCTATTTTTAGAGTAGTATTTATATAACAGGTTTGTTTTCAGACAGACTATAGAGATACTTTAATGGAAATGAATATGAAGCTGCAGTTGACTTGAAGATAAGCAAACTACTGCAGGGGAAAAATAAAACAGTTCATATTGTAAATACTATTTTTTCATCTTTTTAGTAGATGCTTATCAGATACATTGCTGAAATAGTATAACACTACTGATTCATTAAGAATTCTGTATATAATTTTGTGTAGCCCTAACAAGACTGATGGAATTTTTTTTAACATTCATTTCCAGAAAGTTATATAGTAGACAACTCAGTTTCTGCAAAATACTTTAACATGCTCATTAAGTCCCACTGAATTCAGTAAGATCTAAGGGCACATTTACATGCTTTGTTGTATCAGGGCTCAGGAGAGTAAAGAGGATAAAAAGTCTTGTGAGGAGGGGACAAATTCTGAATCTCTTGCTCAGAAGGAAATCCCGTTTGGGAAGAGTAAACTTTATAAATTTGATTCTATGAATTAATTAAAGAATGTTCTAGGAAAAAATATCTTTTATTTTGAATGTGGAAAATAATTCTTTTAACTGAACTTCTTTGAGCTGTTAAGAATAAAAACAATTGTTCAAAGTGTTCAGTGGTAGAGATCCATATTTGAAAAACGCAGATCCTGAAGATCAGGCCTAAGTCATTCATTAAGAACCCCGCAATATCTTATTTCGGAATGCTTCTGACATGAATAACACCTTGGTTGAATTAATCTGAACTTTCCAGACAAATACATTCTGTGTAAAAATTGGATATGAATATGGCTCCAGGATCCAGTTTATTGACGACACTCATGCTTGCTTTCCAGAAATGCGTGCTCTATTGGCCAGAAAAAAGAGGAATCTATGGGAAGGTTGAAGTCCTTGTTAACAGTGTGCAAGAATGCGAGAACTATACTGTCCGTCAGCTTACAATAAAGGTAACAGTCTGCATTTGAGAAGCATTATTCCTAATGCTTTTTTTTTTTTAATGTTAAATAAAGTTAAAGTGGTCTTTTTAAAGGGCATAAATTTTTAAGGGAAAAGTAACTGAGCTATGAAGCTCTCAGCTGCAAGGTATGATTGAGACCAAAGCGCTGGAACAGTTATTGTATTGCTGGGCGATACAAAGTGATTTTAGTTAATGAAAGAATTAGCACAGCATCATTCTGAAAAAGATAAGCTGCTCATGTTATGTGCTGAATGCACCTATAGCCCATTTGAGAAGCTAAAAATATAAGGAGTATATAAGGATAGCTTCATGCTTCCATGGTTCTGGCTAAATATTAACTGTGCAAAATAAGGCAGATGCTCCTCTTCTAAGTTGCTCCCCACGTTACACTTAGATGCTATCAGATTGCATCATCTGCTGCTCCTGACAGAGCATTACAGTAAATAATGAATTGGGGAAATTTGCTTGGTGTTTCAGCCCAGGCAGTGAGAAGTGGCCAGAAGTCATATTATCCAACACAAATTAGTCTTAGCCCATATTTAGCCCCTTTGCTTGTTGATGAAAGTGGTAGCAGCCTCTCTTGGGGAGAATAACTGGACAAACTGGGATGTTTGATTAATCTAGAAGGGCAGTTCTTCTGCACCTTTAACTTAAATACTCTTGTAATTTTAGTGTCAGACCCTTATGATAATGTCCCTAAAAGGTAGCAGAAATATGTAATATTTTGGAGATTCAGAAGCCCAGTTAAGATGATCTCTCTAGACCTTATTGCTGATCTAATGCAGACCTATGATGATTGCCAACTGGCAACACAGTCAGCACGTCAGTAGTCAGATGGACAGCACAGTACTTGCACAGCTGGAAAAACAACAAAGTTTTCAGGTGCACAAATCCTTCTTAAAACTGTGTCGCTGGAAGTGCGCCTGGTCCCTGCAATTGCATCCTCTGAGTCTAATAAAAAAAAAAAAAAATTGTTAAATCTCTCTTAATGTTTTTACTGTCTTTTTACCATAACGTTGAGAGAAATGAAAAGAATTGTTCACCACAAGCATGCATATAAAATCTTTATGTTATTTTCAGCAAGGGAGTCAATCCCAGAGTGTGAAACACTACTGGTACACATCCTGGCCGGACCACAAAACGCCCGACAGCGCTCAGCCTCTGCTGCAGCTCATGCTGGATGTAGAAGAGGACAGGGAGGAATCACCTGGCAGAGGGCCTGTCATTGTGCACTGCAGGTAATCTGCAATCCTTCTCTTAAATGACTGCCCAAAGCAAGGCCACAGCAAACAGTCCTAAACAAAGAACTTGTTTGGGGGAGAGTAAAGTTTCCCAGATCCCTTTCATGCTAATTGACTTTTCCCGTTCAGATTTGAGGATTTGAGTTTTGGAGAGAATTCCCTTGTTGTTAGCAAATAGTTTCTGAACCGTTCTCCATTTCTGCTAATGAACTCTCTTTTTCAAAGACCAGCTGGAAAAAAGTATTTTGCTTCTGTTTCTTATTCACGATTTGCTTTCTTTTTAGTCTTGTGGCATAATTGCATACCTAAGTCAGATGCAATGCCCTGTGACTGATTGGCTAAAGTGTTGTAAAGCAAGTCAATTTTGAACAGCAGGCAGCAGATCAAAACACATCAGTACTAAAATTTGTGAACATTTTCACAAAGGCAGTTGGTTTGATACTCAAGAGCAAAGTGTTATTCACACAAGTTGTAATGAACCGGAGAATGTCCTTCTAATGATTCTAATTAAATTCCATTTTATTGCTTTATATTGATTCATTGTCCCATGTTGCAATTTAAGTAGTAGGAAGTAGTACTGGATTTGTTACATTGGTGGAAAGAAGTAGGTGAAGCAAAACAGAAAAAAAAATAAAATCAGTGTTTCCTTACTTGCTTTGTCTCATAACTGTGATGATACATCTCTTACATTTGGAATAGTACTTTTTTTTTGTAGAAGTACATGAAAAGCAGAACTTTTCATCTTAAACAACTTCTTTTCAACTCCATATTTAGGAAATTTAGAGAACTGGAAGCCAGATTTGAACCACTCATTGTTTTTCAAAACCAGAATGTGATGAATAAGGAACTTTCCCAAATTTTATGCAGCTGTTTTTATCAGGAATTGTAGTTTCCCTAAATAATCCACAAATCTGTGGATGGCTATTGAGAGTCCCATTATTCCAGTAAGGATCTTCAGTAATGAAGGTCTTCAAAAGAATGGGGTGTCTTCCTGAGGTGAGTGATATGGCAGCAAGGTCTGTAAACATGAGCAGGAATTTATTCATGATTAAAGACCCAGATATCACTTCAGTTGTGATTAAAGTTAATAGTTCTTCAGTGACAACTCAGCTATCTATACGTTCACTACACTATGGTCTACAAAATGGGTAAACACACTTGCACTCCATTTTCTAGTCAGGTAGTTTCTTCCCTTTTAATCTGAGTTGCAGCTGAGGTCATTCAAGCCTCACAGATCCTGTGCACACTTTTAGACTTGTACCTCAGATACAATTGCACAAGTCTCAGTTATTTCCAGAGGAGTATTACAGTGCACGCTCAAACAACAATCACTAATCTGAAGCAGAAATGCTTTAATAATTTCTTAATATGACACAAGTGGAAAAAAAAGCAATTCAGTTTTTTGTGCGTGTAGCCTATCAGCATAGGGTGCTGTCTTACACACATCAGTGTAGAGCCCATTCAGGACTCGGGATATAAGAAAGACTTTACTTCTTTTAGCAAAGTAGTTCCTATTCTGCAAAAGAATAGGCAAAAGAGTAAACTTTTGCTTTGGTCCTTAAAATCAGCAGCTCTGATTACACACATGCCAAGGACACAGATTTCCAAAGGAAGAAAGTTTTAAGGTCTTACTAATTTTTATAGTGGCATTCACTTGGAAGGTCTGTTTCCTCTCTCATGTCACTCATCTAAAGCATGTGGTAAATATGAAAAATATCTCCTTAATCTGTTATTTGGATGTGTAGTTAGTACATCAAAATAAGTTTGAGCTTAATGGCAGCTAGGTGGTTTGGGATCAAATACAAGTTTTAATTGAGGGATTTCAAATATAGAATGGAAAAGATTTTTTTTTTATTGAGATTGAATTAATAAGGAAGAATTAGTACACAGAATTATATTCTGCAAATGTAAAACTAATTTAGCCTCATTTAGTCAGTGAAACCAAGCTGACCAACAATCTGGACCACAATGCCATTTTCTGCTTCCCAGAAGGACCAGCATTTTGGCATATTAGAGGACTTGTAAGAGTTTCTTAAATGAGAATAAGGGATAAAAATGTCATGCTCAGAAACTTGACACCATTATAGTTATTGCTGGAAATTTTTTGCTTTTCTTTCCTCATCAGCTAGTGCATGAACATGTTCTATAAAAAGCATACTGCCTGCATCTCTTAATCCTGAAATCATAACAGTCCAATATTCCACACTCCCAATTGACAGACCACAGTTGTTACGAATGAGTTACTACATGTTAAACTCCTAAAAAAAAGGGGAAAGACAGAAATACATATAATAGAAAGATATGTAATGGAAAAAAATATATATACACCATGTTTTGGTGCTTGAAAATAATTAAAAGTAAGTAGCTCTCCATATTTTCTAGATATACCAGGAAAGAAATGTCAGGCAAATGAAGAACAATGTCATTTTTATCTTGCACTGTCTGAAATAAAGCTAGGTAATAAGATAGGACTGGCACGCCTGAGCTGAGGAAGAAAATATTAGAAAACCCTAATCTTTGTTTAATACATATTAAGAACTTGTCCAAGAACACTTAATCCACCCCCAAAAAAGGGAAAAAAAAAGAAGCCTTCATTGTAGCCAACTTCTCTTACATCTGAGTAGTTTAAACTTTCAAGTAGTCCCACTTTCAAGGGTTTAAAAATATTTGAGGAAGAGAATGGGGGTAATTGCTTTCTCCAAATCCTTCTTTATAAACTATGTCCTCCTTTTGGATACACTTATCCCATAGATATTGATGTCAAAGGAGACAGGCTGTCAACTCAGGATCTTCATCTCACTCAATCCTTTCTTACACTGCCAGTTTTACATCTCATTATCCCTTCACGGTTGCCTTAGACATCCTCAGATACTTAATATTGCTGAGTCCTCTTGGAAATTTTCACTTCCAGATGGGAGGGCTCCTCAGTCTCTAAAGCACTCCTATCTTTCATTCGGTGCTCAGTAGCTTGTGATTCGTTTCAGCTGTAGCAAATGGACATACTCCCGGTAACACTTGGCACTCAGATATATCAACCTTCCATCTGAGACACTCAATGTATTCTTTCTGACATTAATTTAAATAGCTCTTGCAGCACTCCTACGAGGCAGGTGGCATTCATACCCATTGCAGAGATGAAGAAAGCAAGGCACCAAGTGGTTAAGTATTTACTGTAAAGCCAGGCATAGAGATCTGGACCCCTGACTCTGTTTTAACTATTTTCCTCACATTTTCATGCCATGCAGCATGGCAGGGATGAGCTGCACTGAATTCCATGTTACTTAAGCAAGAAATAGAGTGGGGCAGAGATTCTCAAATGTGTTGGAGGTCCCAGGGAGTAAAAATAATGCCAAAATTGCTGTTTCCAAGCAGGCATCAAGAAAACCTGGAGAGTTATAGCACCAAATCCTTCTACCTCCTGCAGAATCACAGGAGAGAGGGTTAACTTCATCAGCATGGCTCAAGGTCCTTTTTACATTCATGGCTATGACAGGACAAGGGGTAATGGTTTTAAACTAAACCAGGGTAGGGTTAGACTGGATATAAGGAAGAAATTCTTTACAGTGAGGGTGGTGAAACACTGGAACAGGTTGCCCAGAGAGGTGGTGGAGGCCCCATCCCTGGAAACATTCAAGGCCAGGTTGGACGGGGCTCTGAGCAACCTGGTCTGGTTACGGGTGTCCCTGCTCACTGCAGGGGGGTTGGACTGATGACCTCTAAAGGTCCCTTCCAACCCAAAACATTCTATGATTCTATGACTCTATGATTCTATGATGGTTAGAGGTATGGTTAGCAGAACCCCTGTATACTCTGAGGGCTTCAAACATAAAGCCCCACTCATTTTTGCCTTTAGGTGGGCTTTTCCCCCAACTCAGTGTATATCTCCATCATTTGTTTGGAGTGTGCCAGAGGATATTTGGACTTTGTGGTGCTAATGGAGATTGTTTTTCTTACCATACACTTGTGTGCAAACTGGAAACGTGTAAGACTCACAAATTACCCACAACAGCTGGACTGCTGGAACAGTGCACCCTTTCATTTCTCTCAAAGAAAGTGAACTGAGAAGTTCCCCTTGCTAGTCATGCACCCAGGAACTGTGGGTTCTAGCAATTCTGTTTCTCTCATTTTTAGTGTTTTCATATCTGTTTGTTTTCCACTTAACTCCTTTGACCTGTGAACTCTGTTCCCTTACTAAATTTTGCCTTCTTCTCAGTGCTGGTATAGGAAGAACTGGATGTTTTATTGCCACGGCCATTGGTTGTCAGCAGCTGAAGGAAGAGGGAGTTGTAGACGCATTGAGCATTGTCTGTCAGCTACGAGTGGATAGGTGAGTTCCAGAAGGACCGTAAGTCGGTCAACAATTCTGAAAATCAGTCAATGATTCTGAAATTATTCTGAAATCATTGCTGAAATGATTCGGTGCTGATCAGTAATGATTGAGTAATGATTCTGAAAACCTTTTCACAGCTGAATGTTGCTTTACATGAAGTGGCTGTCATCACTTTTCCTGACTGAATATTCCAAGTAACCTTTGTACTTAGATCCTGAGTAGGGAATATTGTTTTCTGGGTGAAACTGGGTGAGATTCCACTGAATGAAATTCTCCTGAGATGGCAACCCTGTGGTTGCTGGGCACTTGGCACTCCTCTTTTCCCCTCCTGGAGCTTTCTGCTGTCTGCAGCATCCCACTGGGACACAAAAGACACGAGGCAATCTGGAAGCAAGGGATTGTCTTTGAGCCTGGATTGGCATGAATATCCAGGCTCACTCAGTGTGTAGTTTCTTTATGCCGGAGAGAGCCGAATCTGGTGCTGTTGCCATTCCCTCAGCTGTGCGGGGGGTCCTTTTGAATTGGGTTGGCAAATCTACCCAGCTTAAGAAAATAGCAAGGCATTTGTTGCAGAATTTTCTTAAGTCAGATCAATTCCCTGATTGAATTCACAGCTTGGGAGCAGGAACACTGTAAGCCAGCATTGTTGCAGAGTGCTTTGTTTTGTGAAACCATGGCTGAGGAGAGATTTGTGTTGGAAAGGAGGATGTGGGTATTGTGCACAATGGAAGCTGCTGGTTTGGTTGTACTTTTCTTTCTTATTCTGCTTGGGGAAACAGGATTTTGTATAAAGTAAATAAACAGGGTTGCACCAAGAATAGAGAAGTCCCATTCTTCTCCTGCTGTAGGTACCAGATCATATAATCTCATTATATTATTAACTATATTAAATAATTGAACATATTAAAGTATATTAACTGCTTCGGACATACATTTCTTTAAATGGAAAGAACCCATAACAGTGCAAATGCTGAAAAAGTGCTCAGGTCAAAGGGACAATACAGGATTTTTGTGTTCTGAAGCTCTGAAAGGTACTGGAACCACGAATGGAAGAAGGAGCAGGATCCATGTAGCTGACCATGTTTATGGATCACGTCCTCTGCCTTCCCCTCCCACGCGCCTTCATCATACTAGAGATTGTAATGTGATCTGTGCAGGGCAACATGAGCCACTTGGAATGTAAAATTCTCCAAGGGGAGTTCCTGGCCTAAAAATCTCAGCAACAAAAAAGATGGAAGAGCTGAGGGGAAAATGCTTACTCTGTTTTAAATTATCAGCTCAGAATTTGCAACACTCCGTTCTGATTATCTGTTCATCTTATTGAAAAACGTTTGTAGTGCTCTCCTCCATTTTGGTATTTCTATTATAAGATAACCTTTTTATTATTGCTTTCAGACTCCACTGTAGAGAAGTGAAAGCAAACTCTGGTCTCAGCTACATCATTTTTTATGTCATTATTTCAGACATAGAAAAAATAATCTAAATTTTCAGGATTATAACTGACAACACAATTTCATCAAGTGTATCTGACTAATGGACTTTCTTATGGGTATTAGTATCCTTGATAAACTTGGAAAGAGCATGAAAATCTGACCCAAATATAAACATTCATAACAACAATCTCATTGACACAAAGCTTGTTATTAAAATTAAGGCTTGTGATTTGTGCATTTCAGTATATTTTTGAGTTTCAAATTATATAAATAGACTCCAGAGATCTTATTTATGGTGCTTCAGCTCTTTGTATTCTCAGGCATTGCCTGAGAAAAAAAGTATATCTGTGTTTTCATTTTTAAAGACATTTTTCTGGGCAAAATTCAGTAACCAAAACCTCTTTTTCATTCCTCTTTCCAATTGGCCATATTGCAGAATGGCTCTCACTCACCTGGCAGGCGGTTTATTGTAAGGATTGCTAAGGCAGAGCTTAGCAGCCCCTAAGACTACAGTAGCCACTGCCAGCCCAACCCGATCACGGGTTCATAAAGTGGGCAAGTATCACTGTTACATGGACAAAGCTCTATGACACCAGCTTCTTCAGTCCTGAAGTGGTGGTTACTGGCAGGTGGCATGTGAGATAGGGGCATTACATGTGACACGAAGCTGGCAAAATGAACTTATCATCCCTCTAGACATGGCTGCAAGAGCCAGCTCTGGCCACAGCTGTGTTGCACTTTGGTTCCCAGCGTGGCCAACATTAGAAATGAGGTACAACCAGGAGCAGAGCAGCAGCAGAGATGAGGCTGTCTTCCTCATGATGCTGGCCAGCAGCTGAGCTCCAATTCATTCTTTGTACATCAGATTGCCCTCACAAAACAAAGAAGAAAAGAGTTCATCAGAAAAGGATGGTTTTATTTGACCACCTAGGAGCCAGAAACCTGCCCGAGAGGTACCCCGAATCATTTCCTCTCTGATAGCTCGTCTCCGCTAGGATGCCAGGCAGTCTTTCTCATTCTCAGAGCTGCACCATCCAAATGCAAACCTACTGATGGAACAAACACACTCAACGGTATCCACTTGTGTGTGAACTTTTTGTCAACATGGGTCCACGGCTGCGTTTCTACCAAAGTGAATTGAGCAATAGGAGGAAAGGAAGGAGCTGTGCTTGAGTGACTCACAGTGATGCTGCCGTGATTTACCAAAACATTCCCATTGCCCAGCACACTCAGTGAGAACCAAACAAGCATCCAGACAAATTACATGTAGATGGTGGCAAAAAGTTATGCTGAAAAATAGTTTAACTGCCTATGTAGCCCCTCTGGAAACAGAGTTTAAAATAGAGCTCCAACAGGGAATGAGACAGGAGAGAGCTGTTCCTGGGTAAGGTATGTCCAGATGCCACTTTCTTCTTAGCTGTTCAGCATAAGTTAAGGCATGAACAGATCTGGCAGTAATCATCTGTGCTGAGCTAACATGAGGAAATGGGCCATCCCCTCAAAATCTTGACCCAGGATGGAGATACAGCCATGCTCATTGTGGATCCATAGAAAGACAGACCCACAGGTATGCTCAGCTTAGTCTTTCTCCCCGTTCATTTTTTATGCTTTGCAACAGAAACAGGAAATGTTTGATGTGAGGCATCTTCAAGACTTACTGTGATATCGAGAAACTGCACATTCTTAACCTTAAAGGCACATTCTTGGAATGACATCCGATAACTTTGCTCTTGGCTCCTCAGACAGGATGAAAAGAGTTCCAGTGTGCGTCAATTCATTGTTTAAGTGTTTTGACTAATCACTTCAGGTTAAAAAAAAAAATCCCCAACCCGGCATCACATTCATGCTGGAGCAGACTGCATCCAGCTGCAGGAGCAGCAAGCCAGAGGGCAGGGTAAAGGACCCTTCCCTCCCCCGTGGCTGCCCAGGCAGAGCTGGTGAGAGTCCCTGAGCCCTCAGGATACCAGGGGCTGTTTCTTCCAAGCACCACTCCACAGAGTCCCCAAGAAGCAGAGAGCCCAGCAGCTCGCAGAGGAGCTGGCAGAGGATGAAGGCTGCACACCCAGAGGTGCCGTAGCTGTGGGTACATCCCTTCTGGGTGCTAGGGACACAGGAGAGGAAACCTCCCTCCCTGAGCATATTTCCTCCTGAAATGCTCTTCCACGCAGCCTTTTGCACAAACTGATGCGTTAGGGCCATGAAGATGATCCGAGGGCTGGAGCACCTCTCCTATGAAGGAAGTCTGAGAAAGCTGGGGTTGTTCAGCCTGGAGAAGGCTCCAGGGACACCTTTTTGCAGCCTTTCAATATTTAAAGGGGGCTTATAACAAAGATGGAGAAAGCCTTTTTACCAAGGCCTTTAGTGACAGGACAAGGGGTAATGGTTTTAAACTAAAAGGGGGTAGATCTGGATTAGCTATAAGGAAGAAATTCTTCACTATGAGGGTGGCAAGGCACAGGAACAGGTTGCCCAGAGAAGTTGTGGATGCCCCATCCCTGGAAGTGTTCAAGGTCAGGTTGGATGGGCCTTTGAGCAACCTGGTCTAGTGGAAGGTGTCCCTGCCCATGACAGGGGGGTTAGACTAGATGACCTTTAAAGGTCCCTTCCAACCCAAACCATTCTGTGAATCTGTGGTTCTATGAATCCTGTGTATAACAGCACTGACAAGGCCAAGTTGTCTGAACCTCTGTATAAGACTCAGGTGCCCCTAAGCTGACAGGTACCTGCATTTGTTTGCCCATACAGGGTTCAGAAGCACCGTAACATCTCGGTGATGCTTGCTAGCACAGGGCAAAGGCGGTAGTGCGGGGCTCAGCCCCAGCCAGGCTTCTACATGCCTTCTTCGGGATTTTCAATGTTACTTCAGCACCAAAGAGGAAGGAGCAAGGATCACCCCCACGAACAGCCTAGTGCAGCCAAACTTGTTTTAACCTGCCCTTCCTGGCACGTCCTTCTCCCTGGATATGCTCCCTTCCTCCACCTCTTCCACACAGCAGATCTAACCTGGGAAACGCACTCCCTTAGAGCACATCTTGGGGGAACATTGATGGGGGAGACAGGGAGGGAAGCTGGCGGGGAAGGGGTTGCGTGGGCAAGGCAGGACGCAGCAGTGAGGAGGAAGGAAGGAGGCTGAGTAGCACAGAGGACCAGAGCAAAGCCCTCCCGTCACCTTTAGACTCTTGATGGATCTCCAGGCAGGGGACAGGCACAGAGGAGAGCAGCTGAAGGCAGCAGGCAGCCAAGAGTTATGAATTTGTGGATGTCTTTGTTGGCAAAGCTAAGCGGCTGCTGCATTTTGCACCGGATGGGACCATTTAAGGGCCTGTGATTTAATTCCTAGGAATAATATATCATAATAGACATGCAGCTCACTAAAAGGTGTTTTACAGTTGCCTGAGCTCACTGAGGGAGCAGAGACAGCCTGTTGCTTGCTTAAAGAAGTTGGTATTATTTTAATTATGTTTTTCCTGCCACAGCCATTTAACCTTCCAGTAGCACTGAGAAAAACAGAAGGACCTTATGGTTGTAGATAACCTTCTCATGTACTAAAGGCCAATACTCTTCGAGGCAGTTTTACCATTTTTTATATAGCTTTGTATATCAGTAGGCCCTTTTGTTGCTAGGGTGTCTGAAGGGATCACATGGGGGCTTGTCAGACCTTCTCTTGTGAGATGTCTGGCTTCAACATTGCTCTGGATCCAAATCCCTCACGAATTTGATTGTTTCAGTGAAGATCTAGCTGAAGCCAAATACAATACACATCTTAATGTCTTCCTTCTCACTATGGCCATTTACTCTTTCATCCCCCCAAAGGTAACACTAGCTGCTCCAGCATGAGGATGAACTGGGGGCTTGGCTCTAGAAGCAGAGTAGGTAGCTTTGAATAGTCTGGCAGATGAGGTAATAAAAATGGAATTTAAGTAAACCTGAGGCTTTTCTCCATGAGAAGTGAGACTTGGAAGACCCTAGTACTGTCAGAAAGAGGTTCAGTTTAATTTCAGAGCTGAATGGTACCACTCTTACTAAATACCACACCTACCTCCTGTACGACATCATCCCCTTCCTACCACACTGCAACTGGCACTGGAGAAGTGGGACTTAATCCTCATACTTAGTCCTGAAAAAGGGATTGTTATCAAGTGAATGTATTAAACGTAGGCATCTAATCCAAGCTGGCTGTAACTAGTCCTTTTTATGGCCAAGTTAAACTCTTTTGTATTGTTGGTGCTGAAATGAGTCACTGCTGTAAAATTTCTTAGGTGGCTGCTGTTCAGACAGGATGCGTTGTAGGCGTTAGAAAGAGGACAGGAAGAGCTGTTCTCTGCACAGGCGATCTGAAGGTCACCAAAGGTTACATTTTTAGTATAGAACAAAAATGAAAGGCCAGATTCTGAATACTCCCTTGCTCCATCAACAGTAATGCCGCGGACGTGTACCTGGCCTTCCTTGCCCACGTGACTGAGCAAAATTCTCTATGAATCTGTTCAATTTGAAATGTAGGTTTTAACAATGTAGATGCCAGATGTTTTCCTCTCCATTTCTTACCCAGACAGATTCGGGGATGGTGGTTCATGCTGGGCATGTGCTGGATGGCATGAGTTATGAAGAAAGTACTTCTGCTCAGGCAAATCTCCCACTTACTCAAGCAAACTCTAAGTCAAAAATTGAGAAAAGGGCTTGTATTACCTGGTGGTCATGGGGTTGACAAGGGACGGGAAGTTGTTTAGAAATCAGATTTCATTCTGATGTGTTTCTTTTTCAGGGGTGGAATGGTTCAGACCAGCGAACAGTATGAATTTGTGCACCATGCACTGAGTCTGTATGAAAGCAGACTTTCTGCAGAAGCTGTCCAGTGAAGCCAAGGAGGGTACAACTGAATGTCAGTCTCTTGAGGTAATTTGTTTCATTACCTACCAGCAGCTTCTTCAAGGAGTTTACTGCAGTGGCTTCAGAGCGGCTTTGAGGCCAACTTCTGAAAGGATTGCGGACGGTTTGGCAAAAGTCTAGAGATTGCTGGACCCTTACTGTATATGAATGTATTGTGAGCTTCCCAAAAATGATTTATAAAGAAGGTGCCGTGCTGAAACTACACATGGATTTCACGTATATATCTAAAGGTGGGTTTAGTTCTGTAATACTGATATCTGCCATATGGAATGTATGTATGTGCTACTGCTGCAGTTGGATGGACACTGGAACTTTCACAGAAGAAATGTTTATCAAGTGTATAAATGCTTTAACGTTTGCAAACTGTCTTGTGAATGGACTGTCAACTGTACTGTAAAGTGCTATTACTGATTATGTGGTGAGCTTGTTTCTTGGCCACATAATATTCTTGCTGCTAAAATTGCAAGTGTTCAATTATGGATTAAAAAAAAAAGAAGATGAGATAATAAAAAAATTAAAAGTCTTGGGTTTGAAAATATTCAAAAACAGTTAATATTTTATATGGAAATATATGTTCTTCATACTATCAACTATTAAGTGTGTATTTACTGTAGGTCTTACAGAGCAGTTGCAGAGCACAATGTCTGTTATTCAGTGTGTATGTATTTACCCTATACTGTTGATCGTCTTAGAACGTGCTTCTGCTACAGACCTGAATCCAGTGTATTTGTAAATGGTGTAAGTCATTTTACTTTTAAAAGAAACTTTGTAGCATATATTAAATGGTAAGGATTTTAAATATTTGTCTGTCTTTTATTAATACGGGATTTTTTGCTTATCTTGTTTATCTGCTCTATCTCTTTCAGTACGAGATAGATGCCTTTAGTGATATGAACTGTTCCACGACAGGTTATACGAGAAAGAAAATGCTGCTATGACTGTTTCCTTTACCGTTCAGTAAGAGTTTGTTTTTAAGAGAAATGCAAAGCTGGCATTATGACTTACAGCACTGGGAGGTCTGTTTACAGGGTATAATGAGTTTTTAATGCAGTGATGTTGACTTTGCTTCATACTGCTAATAAATGACACTTGATAGAAAACATTTACTGAAGTCTCTGTTCTTGCCTAGAGTAGTTAATGCACCACATGCTCTCGTACGCCCCAAACCAGGGGCAGCCCAGTACCATTCGGTTAGCCTCCACCATGGCTTCAGACCACTGGAGAGCCAGTCCAGAGGACATGGACCATCTCCTACTGACACGGAGCAAGGTGGATCACCTGATGAGAAGGCAAAACCAGCATCACTTGGTCCCTCGGGGGAGGTCTGTGTAAGACCCAGTGCAGACTTCAGAGTTTTGCCTCCTCCTCTTCCCCTTCTCCTCCCCCTCTCCACTTGGCTTTTAGAACATGTGGAGTTAGAAGTATCGATATCACAATTTTTCTTGTTTACGTACAATTATAAAAAAATGTGTGTTTGTTCCCTGGATAACACAGTATATGCTTATTCAGCACCATCCAGATCACCTGCAGACTTGTAATGTTTCACAAGCAACAAATTACACAAAAGCATAATCCCTTTTCTTTATCCAACATCGTCTCTTTCAGTTTCCTGAGTGTTTGAAAACCTCTCTCTCTTTTGCTTGTATTTTTCAAAATAAAGCAACTAGTAAACTCTGAAGAATCATATGAAAGGACAAAGTGGTGTAAAACTCCCCAAAACAATTGAATAGAAGGAAGTGCTCGTCACTGACTTTTTCCCCCTGTGAAGGCACATTTCCTTCCTAGCCTTCGCTTCACTTATCTGAGGTGGGTTTTTTTAAGAGAAGCATGGGGAGTTGCTAGAGGGAAAATGGATTCTTTATTTCACGTCCTGGTTTCTACCTGTCTTGCCTTGACATTCTCAGGTAAGTGTCTCTCCCCGCTTCCCCCCCGCCGTATTGCTCTTTCTGTCGCGGAGCAGGGCCCTCGGGGCAGCTGGCGACTTACGAAAACCGCGTCACTTCTTCGCTTGGGTCCGTTCATACAGGAGGAATGGGGGGCAGGGCCAAGGTAGCCCGTTCTGTTTAGGTTTCTTTCCAAAGGAAAATAAACTGTCTCCTTCTATGCTGGAGATACCTCTTTTTTTTTTAAGAAGATCTCCTACTAGACAATCCAGGAGCTGAGCTTTGGGACAAGCTCTTTGAAGGGGAGATTCTTGGGGTTTATTCCTACTTTGTGAAACTTCCAGAGCCAGGCGCTTTCTGTGATGCTTAGTTAGAAAATACCCAGGTCCGTAAAAACAGGGGGATGACAAACCTCAACCACGGGAAATAAACGCACATGTTGGGTTTAGCACTTTGTAACTAATGAGGCTGGAAATGTTTGAGTAACTGAGATTATAAAAAGAGAAAAACCTAAACAAGATGTGGCAGGGAGGCTGCATTTGAAATATCCAGTTCCGTGTTCTGTAACAAGTACGGATTTTGTGTTGGTAACTTTGAGGTTTTTTGACAAATGCGTTGTAGTTCTCTTCTTCTGAGTGTTTGGTGTTGATCTCTAAGCGCAGTGGCACAAAGAGCTAATCTAACATGAATTAGGATGGTCACAAAACTAGCAGCTAGAGACGTTGGAGTAAATCCAGTAAAATAGATGTACTTCCTATCAGTAAAGAGCCTCCATTCCTGTAAAGGCACAGGCACTGAGAGGCACGCAGGTTTGGGAATGTCCTCTTAGGTGTTTTCTTCAGAAAGACCATGAGTTTTACTTAAATGATTTCCAGGCAGCAAAAAGACTGTGTCGTAAAATGGAAAAAAGACTGAGAGCTTGTGTAGATCTCTATGCTTTCAAGCAGGGGAAGTGGGGTATTTAGAATTGGTATTTAAAGTTAATAGTTCTTGGATTTATTTTATATCCAGTTTATTTTTTTCTTCATTTTTATATGTAATGAAGGTCAAGGTGACCTTTGCCACAATAGTTTGCTTCTTGCATTCTCACTCTTTACATTACCAGCACTTGCATCATGTGGGTTGTACGTTTGGGTTTTCTTAAAAATAGGTTCAACACATGGGAAGTTCATGAAAAGTTCAACATATAGAAAGCAGGAAGAGAGACTTATTTGCTGATGTATTTTAAATCATCAAGAATTTGCTTTTTGTTAAATAACCATGTGTAATCTATTGTATTTTTCTGGAATCTTCCTCTTCCAGAAGGGTTTCTGATTATCCATGTCCAGAAACAGCAGTGTCTTTCAGAAAAGAGAGGAGTCATTATGGAAAAGTGCAATATGACCAAGCTCAACCAGCAGTGGCGGTGGACAGCAGATGACAAGCTCTTCCACGTGAAATCTGGCCAGTGCCTGAGCATCTCTACACGCTCTGCCCTGTCATCTCGCAGCATCATCGTTGATTGTCCCCAGGCAGTCAGCTGGACTTGCCACGAGGAGGATGGGCTCCTGAAGGTGGCCAACAGCTCTCTCTTTCTCACAAAGCAAGGTCAGAAGGTAATGGCCAAGCAGAGTAAGAAATACCTTCATACATGGATGCAGCTAGAAGACAGCGAGACGGGAAAACCTGTTTATGTAAATCTGTGCTCAAAGCAAGGTGAGCTACTCCTTCAAGGAAGTATCCTGCAAGTTTTGGTAACAAAAATGTGTCTTTTATGCTAACTCAAATGTTAAAAATGATGATATTTTATGCATACAGAAAAACGTTTTTCATAGTTGAAAAGAGCTTAGAGAACCATAAAAGGAACAGCTGAGACGAGTGCCGTCTTTCTCGCAACTGGTGGGGTTTTTAAGCCATTTTGTCTTTTCAGGATGTCTCTCCTTTTCTCTATTCCCAATCTTTGGATCAAAGTGCATATGTGTAAGCTCAGCTCACTATTCTTGTGTCATTTCCTTTTTCACTTTTAAAAAGGATTATGGGTACTAATTCCTATTACTTTTAAAAATGCGGATGTATAAAACATCCTTTTCCTCCCCTTTCACTTTATCATAAAAATCCAAATTCAATCTGTCAAGAGCAAGAAGACATCTTAAAATCAAACACATGCACATTTATTTCTCTGATTAACCCAAATGCATGATTAGAACAGACATATGGCTTACACATTCACATGTTTACACAGTGTCACTTTGCCCTCAGATGCAATATATATGAGAACACTCAAAATCCTGAAAGTAATGAACTGACTCAAAAATCTCAGAAATTCTTGCAATAGCACTTTGAGATGCATGGGTCTGTGCACATACTTACAGATGTGTTGATATACCTGTGTGGTTATATATGTTTCCATGTCCATAGCAAAAGGGAAGGTAGAGTTTGAATGCCACTTAATAACACTTTCCTTGATGTCCTGTTGCCAATCCTTCCTGACAATCCTGTTGACATTCTTCCTGTGCACTATTAAGCAGTAAGGTAAATAAGAACAACTTGCAGAGTTAAGCTTTTTATTGGGGAAAACACAATTTATTCTTGTCTTTACAGGACTAAAAAAACCGTTTTATGACCCAATACTTTCGCCTATGGCCAAGTTTTCAGAATGTTTAAAACAAATCCTTGTTCTTTCTAACCTTTCCCGCTTGTGGTAAGGCAGGGTACCATTTTTTCAGCAAATTTGCACTTGCAGGACTCTACTCACAGCAGCAGGACTACTCACCTGAGCGGAGGTCTGAAAGAACAGCTTGCAGAATCAGGGAATGGAAAACTGGCTATGATGCCATTCCAGCCCTCCCATATATTTTAGAGATTAAAAAGGCAAAATCATTCGAAGTCCTGCGTATAGGGTGAGTACGGCTTGCTCGTTCAAAGACACCATGAAAAGTTAAGATGAGGTACACAGGCAGTGTTATTTTCTTTAGATAGCTGGATGAAGTGTGGCCTAACAGAGCTAAAGTAACCTTACATCCTTTTCTTAATCATCCTCAGAGGAGAAGCAATTTAAGACCACAGAGTACTAAGACAATTGTCATGGGGTATTAAAGCACCTTCTCATCTATTTACTGTGCCCAGTACTTCAGTGAATTTACCTTAGTTTTCCTGAAATTGTCTCTATAGACAGGCCTGTAGATCCACTTTAAGAGTCCCACTGTGTCAGTTATCTCCTTTTTGACAGCTCTGGGAAGCTCTACTGAGAAATCAACTGTACATTATGGTCCTCAATTCCTAACTAAGAATGCCAGCTATATGAGAAACTCATAAAGAGTTGAAGTAGTACAAAGAGATAATAATAACAATAGTAATAATAACAACGACAACTACAAGAACAAAATCTAATGCCCACAGTGCTGTTCTTGACATCCATATGCACGTCAAAACTTTCAATGTTGAATGCGTAAAATCAGTTTTCCAAGAACATCTGTCTACTTTCAAAGCAGCAGTGGATCAGCCTAAAATAATGTATTCAGTCTATATTTAGCTAGATATTAAAAACTGAGCAAAGTCTTTGGAGCTGAAGTGGCTGTAAGTTTTTCTACTCCTGACTAACATGATATTTTGATATAATTTTCCCTTTGTTTTCATAGTAATCGTAAAATTAGTTATATTTTGGCAAAGGAGTAACTCACTGAATTGCATCCCAAACATCTTATCAGCCCAGATATAGTACAAGCTCCAAACCCAACAACTGCAAATACCTTTTATTCTGGACCTAACTCAAATGCCAAGCATGATTTTTCTGAGCCTGGGGAAAGTCTGAGCTTGGATTTGGATTTCAAATCAGCCATCCAAGATGTGTTTGGATATACATGTTTTTGCTGCAATCCTGACCTAAATGACTCTCTGTGGAAATCAGGATCGGTTTAAATATGTATCCCATCTCTGGCCTCTGGCTGAAACAGCAAACATGAAGAGGTATCAGTCTCCCCTGAGACGGTGAGACTTCAGTTCTCATCAAATTCACGAGGAGGTTCTGGGCAGAGAGAGGAATAGCCTCTGTTGTGCTAAGACCTTCTTTTCACTAGCCGTCTGCTGGGGTCAGAGCTTCTGCAGCCCAGGATCCAGCAGAAGGGACAGGAGTGGAAACATGGAAGAAGAAAACATGGGGAAGGTGAAGGGGTAGAAGGCAGGATGTCTGAAAAGAGCAAAAGTTGTTGCACGAAAATAACAATTGCAGAACAAATGCATGTCTGGAAAGCACCTGGAGCACCACTAATGCTGACACACTAACTCTGATGTCCCTTCTGAGTTGTGTTAGCAATTCTTGCAAGCTTCTTTTGTTCTGGGTAGGTTGGTTTCAATAAAACAGCCAATTAGAGAACAGAGGCAATGCTGTGTGGCAGCTTGAATATTACCAACAAACTTCAAAACCACTGCAGACGAAAAATTCTTCACTAAGTGGAGAATGACTTCAAACAGGGAGACACAAGTCTGAGCTGTGTGCTGCGGTTATTCACTGAGATCTAGAGACACAGCCTGTAGGGCAGTCTGGATGCAGAAGGTGACAGCAACTGGTTTGCACCATGGTGCTCCACATTGCATTTCTCTTCTACCTTATCATGCATAGCAGGGACATCTCCTGAAGGAGTTGTGGCAGCAAAACCCTCGAACTGTGGCTATGAAGATAAAGCCCCATTCAACAGAGTAGCTGATTCTGTGGAGGAGAGTGGGTTTATTGCTCACCCTTACGTGCCAAGTACTTAAGAACCATAGTGGGATCTACAAAATTATAAAACAAGTTGGACAAGGAATTCAAATAACAAATACAGCATTTTTTTATCTTGTTTTGTTTGCAGTCTAAAATAGACAAAATATCAGATACTATGTAGGAGCCTGATGTGCCATCTGACGTTCAAACTGTTGCCTCCACAGTCCTTCCTCCTTTTCTACCCCAGTTTCTGGCCCCATATCTTCTCTTTCGTGTGGGCTTCTCTCTTCCCCTTATCCCATTTTCTGCTTGCCTGCTTCATATCAGAACCTGAGCTGAGTTCACATCCCACTGCTGACACCCCAGTGGGTGAGGTGGAGGGTAGAAGAGAGCAGAGCACACTCTGAACCACTGCAGCAGCAGCCGTGGCAACTGCAGAACATGGTGCGGGGAAGACACGTGCATCTTCTTGGTGCTCTCGCACCGTGTTCTGCAGTTGCCATGGCTCGGGGAAGACACGTGCATCTTCTTGGTGCTCTCGGGAAAGCAGAGGAGCACCAAAGAAAGGAGGCAGAAGCACAGAAAAGGCAGCAACTCTTACCCATTTTTCTGATCATGGCAGTATCTCTCGGCTTTAATTTTTTCACACCTTTAGTGTTTGTAATGACTGCAACAATCCGTCCCTAGGTTCATGACAGGTTGGATTTTCGTGTATATAACCTTTACAAACTTCTCCAGGATAAATTAGAACAGCGAGAATCAATATTTTCATTCCACCTCTGCGTTGACCCAAAACTTTTTCACTCAAATGCATTTTTATCTCCCTGAACTATTATTTTACAGGATTTTGTAAGTAAAAGAGTTTGCTAGCATCTATGCAAACCCATGAGATGCCACAAATGACTTGAATCTTCTTTCTTTGGTCAAAGCAATGCATGGGTGACCACTTTTGCTCAGCTCCACCTGGAAAAAGAAATTTCAGATCCTTGGACATAATTACAAGACCTTGTACACAATCCAACAGTTTACTGACAGAAGCTCAAAGATAAATGCATTTTCACATTTTGTAAAAAGAAATGGAAAAACCTGCAGCATAGCCCAGGTCTTTGGGTTTCGTAAATTTTCCAAGTCTCAGTGAGGCACAGCGCAGGGAGTATAGAACAAAATCAGCTCAGCTATTTAACAGCTTCGCAGAGCAGCCAGGAGGATGGCAAATCCTGCTTTCTATTTCATCTTCTGCTGTGAGTGCTAACAAAGTTGCCAATTCCAGACAAGTATAGACTGGTAATTTTTGTAATTACATTCTCTCCCTTTATTTTGTATGAATCTCCGTGTAGAAGTTGGAGTGGCTTTCAGCTTCCAGGTGTCTAAATGTAGGTGTCTGAAGGAAGGGCATTGTTTCAGTTGTCTCAACATAAGTGCTTTTTGCCATTTGAGATGCTCCAGGATATCCCACCTGACCTCCAACCACCTACCCAGAAAGACACAGTCTCCCCTAGATGCTATGAGGGCCCTGAGCAGACCTCTCTGATGCCCCCGGGCAGTTCAGATTGCACTGACCAAGTCCTAGAGCCCTCTTCAGTAGAGGTGTAATCCACGGAGTTAATGGAGCCTAGATACTTTTCAGTGACCAAAAATCCACTTCGGGATGAGCTGAGGCTATCTGGACTGTCAGAAACAGGGCTGATAGGGCTATGGTATTATCACCATAGTTATCTGGGATCTTCTGCTACCACAGGTGCTGAAAGAGCCTTTAAGTGGCTACTTCAGAATTTCAGAAACAAGCAAGTAAAAGAGCAGCTCAGGATTAGCCTGGAGTTCAGAGACATTTGACCTCTCTGACATGAGATACAAAGATTGCTAACTTCTACACATTTCAGATAAAGAAGGCAAAAATTTTTCAAGTAGGGGCATTCAGTGGATTTTGTTCTTCTGTCACACTCCTACATACAACAGAAGTCTGAAGTACGTTTTTTAAATAGGGTCTTTATTTTTGCAGTGTATTTACAAGTAGTTGGACAGTTAACAAGATCATTCATTTTGTCCTGCACATTCAGAGATCTTAAATCAACCCCTCCTAGTTTCAAGTCTTGCTGCCAGCTGCAGTCTTACAGAGTATTTTTTTCTTATACAATAGATATCTGATCCATTTATGCTTCACTGGCAGCTCAGCCTTAGTTTTTGGAAACTGTGCTTTAATAGGGCAGGCTGATTGGTGCGACGCAAGCTGTTTCAGAAAGCTGCATCATGCCGGCTCGTCTGGGTCTGAAGGCACCACTGTAAGGTTCTCAGTACTTGACAACTAATCAGCGCCCTTGCTCATCATACAGGCAAAACGTATGGATTTCCTTTTCTTGTAAGCGGCCTGCTGCTGTGCAGATGGATGCAGTCTGCAGTACACCCCATGGAGGAAATATGCGCTTAGTCAGAATGTCACAATTTCTCCTGGGTGTGCTACTGATGATTACAATGGTATGTTCACACACTGTATATCATTCAGCCACTAGTGATCAACGTCAGTGTCAGTGCTGCAGTTCTGTTCCCATGAACGGTTTTATGACTGATTTCCAAAGAGACTGCTAGAACAATGCTAAACACTTCTGAAAAATCCCACTGTTGAGATTTCTGTGTACTTTGCTGCTGTCCAGACAGGAGGTGAGTTTTTTCTGGTTTAAAAATTTGGAACTCAAGTTGTGTAGAAATCTGCTTGCTTGGGTCTAATAATATGCAATTTTCTTTTATAAGTGCCTGCTACTGAAGAAGGGCTATGAGGGTCCTTATGCTAGGACCATAGTGGCTTTCCTTAGAAAGAGAATATAAACCTGGATCACGATTTTCTTGAAGTGAGGGCAGATATGAACCCTGTTAGTCAGTCCAATGTAGAATACATGGGAAGTGCTGATACCTATAGCTGAAGTTCCAGTATTGCACAGTGCTATGCGCAAGCCATTTCATCCATAGGTTACAGGTAACAGACTGTTGTTGGTCTTTGCTGGGAAAGATCCTTTAGCTGGAAACCCAGGGTAGCCTTGACCTTAGTAAGAGGATTTGGGCTGTGCAGTGACCAAGTGCTTGCTCATGGTACGTCCTTGGGCTGGTGGAACATTTCTGAGGAGCAAGCTCTCCCCTCGGCTCCTGCACCAGGAATGCTGGTTATCCCCTGGCTGCCGGAGTCCCATAAATGTCACTGGCAGCACCAGCTTCCCTTTTATGGAGCAGCAGCTTTCCTAGCGCACAATTGTACTGGAATGCAAACATCTTCCTGTTGGAATCGCTGCTATTTGTCTGTAAATAAAGCCAATTTTTTTTTTTTTTAACGCGTTTTTAAGTTGGATGTGTAAATCTATATTTAGGAACTGAATTGAGTGGCCGTTTTTTCTGAGCAGCTGCTGACCACTCAGATGTACATTTTTTTTA